TCATCCAATCGGAGTCCAAGCCTTCCCGAATCCGAGCGACTTTATCGTGCAGGAATTGCACAAAATCCTCAGCACGACCCTGCAAGGGATCTTCCCGCACTCCCCCCCGAAGAAGGGAGTGGGTCACCCTAAACAGGGCGGCTGGGCGGTTCTCTGCAGATGCGATAAGAGCGGAAAAATAGTTAGATTTTGCCGCTTTTATCGCCACTAGGTAAGTCTTGATATAAGACCTCACCTGTGTCCGGTCGGAATCGGATTGACTAGTCCTCCAAATGCTCTCTAGGCGTCTTTTCCGACGCTTCATCTCTCTCAGCTCCTCAGAGAACCAAGGAGCCAATTGAGTTCGGCATCGGGTCAGAGGCCGTAAATGCAGATAGACTGCTGAATCTTGTACTTGCTCTGAGCTTGTTGCCATGCCTGCGTGCTCTCTCCATTTTTCTACCAAATGCTTTGGTCTTGAGACTAATTTTTAAATATATCATCCTCATTTCAGCATACAATGCAATCAATACTCACCGAAAATCATTGAGGCTTTCAGGCACTAACACACCCTGTGTACCGAGCTACAATTTCACATTCTCTACGAACATATAATTTCCCATAAATAACAATATCAAACTATAGAGGTTTATTCCCTGCTTTGTGTGGAATCATGCACAAGGATTTCCATTTATTTTCACGCCTGCTTTACTTCCATTATTTAACTGTCATCACATTTAGCAACCAATTTTCAACTTCATATTTACACAAAACATCCTTAATTCAAACCTATTGTGCGCATTCTGTAAATCAACAATTAAACAACTCTTCAGATCATATAAAACAATTAAACACTTTCTCATATTCCTATATTCCTTGAATGAATTGCTACAGAGCAAAAATAAAACTCTGGTCCACATAAGCTTTGCACCTCATAAAATTACTGCGTTCTTCTTAAATTTTGCTAACTGCCATTTCTCATTTCATTTCAAACAGAGGAGAAAATCTTTAACACGTTGAACAGCAACAGGTCTAGAAAGGAGCTATGGTATGTAGTACTTCATTTAATACTTAGCTCCAATTTGATAATGATAATTGATGCATACTCAACTTTATTTTATTTATTTATTTTATTTATTTTATTTGATTTGTATATCGCCCTTCTCCAGCAGGACTCAGGGCGGTGAACAGCCGAGATAAAACAGAGCATACAAAGTTTAAAAAACAGTTTAAAAGGTAATTAAATAATTTCGGCCCACAATTTAAAACAACCCAATTAAAACCAATTTCAAATTAAAACCAAAACGGATGGGATGGGTACCTTTATCTTGTAGCTCAATCAAAAGTTGCCGTCCTTCCATTTTTTTTTCTTGTTGAAATAGTGTGCAAGTACCCATACAGCATCTTATTTCTGAAAAATTGCCAATTGCCCTGTAACCTGTTTCACATTTTCACTGAGGTTTTTTTTTTCCTATTGGTTAAGGAGAGGTCAACAGAACTGATCTCCTTATGTCTTCTTCAGTCATCTGGAAAATGAAACAAACTATACCCGTGGCACGTGGAGCCATCTCTGTGGGCACCCGAGCCGATGCCCAGATCAGCTTCACCGCGCATGCCCATGCACTTCCCGTTGGCCAGCTGATTTTCAGGTCTCTGCCGGGAGATGCACATGCCCCCCCCCGCTTTTGGTTCTAGGAGGCTTCAGGGAAGTCTGCTAGCACAAAAATGGGGGTTGCATGCACGGGGGTGGGGGGGAGCATGGGGGTCACGCATGCATGCATGGGGAGGCTGCGGGGGGCATTGCATTATGGGTGTCGGCACACAGGCGCACCTGCTTTCAGGACCCGAGGAAAAAAAGATTCGCCATCACTGAACTATACCCACAATTGACAGGGCAAGCTATAGTACTGTATATAAACACCATTCTCTTCTAGCACTGAAGATGTTACCTAGTAGGGTAATGAATTGCCAGCAAGCAAACAACAAATCTCAAAGAGCACCAAGTCCTCCACAAGGAAACAATTGGCAAGTCCACTAAGGAGTTTTGGGGCCCTTGAAATTTTGACCAAGTTGATTCTAAATAGTATTGCATTTTTACTATGTGTCTCTTCTCTGAAAGTTCTGTAATCTGATTCAGGAAGGTATTATTCAGGTCTTCTTATTGCTTGGCTGTTTCTTTCATTCACACATTGTTTTTGTCTCCTTTGCATTCTCACTTAAATGACCTCAACTACATCTTTAGACTCAAATACTTAAAACTCAATATATTTATCTAGTTTTGTTCACTCAACACTGGCTTATTTGCTTGTTTGAAGTATACTTGTTTGGTTGCCTTCAAGTTTCTAACCAATTCTTCCTGATCAACTGAGTTTGAGTTTATGAAAAATCAATTGTTCTTGTAATTGGGAATTTTGTGGGCTGTTCTGTAATTTAGTCTCTAATTTTTTGATTGCTTGAAGTTGGGCTTGTTGGGCATATTTTTCTTTGTTCTTTTTTGCAACATAGGATATTATAATTCCCCGTATAACAGCTTTCATAGTATCCCATAAGTTAGGGGTCGTTGTATATTGGTTATTATTTTCTTTAAATTAAAAATTTAGTTCTTCCTTAATTTTCTTAATCAATTTGTCATCTTTCAATAATTGAGAATGCAGTTTTTCAATTATAAGATTGTTTGGAGTTGTGTGTGAAAACTCTTTCCTAACCATTATAAATCCCTTTCCACCACCAAGCTACCTAAAAATTTACCAAAGGTTTATTTTAGAGAATGCATAGATACATAAGTTTGCAACTAAAAGTTGGCCCACCTGCAAAAACACAGAATATGCAGAGCATAATAAGAAAAGGTGCTCAGTACTGCCTGCTATAGTTAGCAGGGAGCCCTGTAAGATCTTAAACTGGAAAGCAATTCAACATAGGATCTCCTCTCTCTATGTGCTCCACTTGAGATATGTCTGAAAAATTGGACCTAAGAAATTTGGTCGTGCAATTCTGCTAATGGGAATTGTAACAAGAGACAAGAGATATTTTGCCAACTCCTGCTTTGGTTCACAGGAGAGATAATAGTCTAACTTGCCTTACAGTGATGCTAAGTTGCAACTCTAACTTCATACACTGTTCTGGACTGACAGCTGTTCTGGAGGAGTCAAAAAATTCATTACAGGTAGTTTTAGACTTACCCGTACTTTTCGGAGTATAAGATGCTCTGGAGTATAAGACATATTAGTTTTTGGGGAGGAAAACAAGAAAAAAAAATTTCTGCCTCTGCCTACCAGATCCATCGGTATTCATTTGGCTAGCGTCCTTGCAACAAATAGCAAACAGCCTAATCAGCTTCAGTACATTATTGCAGCCTGATTCAGCACAAGCAGCTGATTGGCGGGTGGATCGGCCTTCCGGAATACCCCCAATCAGCTGTCCCAGGCTGCAGGAATCGCACAGAGGCCAAAAATACATGGAGGCCAAAAACGCAAGGCACGGAGGTGGTGATGTGCTGTGGCGATCGCAGCCTGGAATGGGTCTAAAACAGCAGGCGGAGACCAAAAAAGTGACGCATGGAGGCCGAAAACAGGCCAAGGGTATGGGCCAGTGGGTGAGTGGGGCTACATTTGGTGTATAAGACGCACCCAAATTTGCACCCTCTTTTGGGGGGGAAGTGCATCTTATACTCTGAAAATTACGCTATAACAGTTCATTTAATGATTGTTTGAAGTTATAACTGCACTGAAAAAAGTGACTTATGACTGTTTTTCACATTTATGACAGTTGAAGCATCCTTATGGTTACATGAGCAAAATTCAGACACTTCGCAACTGACTCATATTTATGATGGCTGCAGTGTCCCAGGCACATGAGATCACCTTTTGTGACCATGACTTATGATCATTGTTCACATTTACAACCTTTGTAGTATCCCTATGATCATGTAATCAAAATTCAGATATTTGTCAAGTGGTTCATACTTACTGTATCACCATTGCTGTGTCCTAAGGTCATGTGATCATCCTTTCCAACCTTTTGAGAAGCAAAATCAATGGGAAAGCCAGATTCATTTAACAACCGTATTACAAACTTATCAACTGCAGTGATTCGCTTAACAATTGTGGCAAGAAATATCGTAAAATGGGGCAAAACTCACTTGACAAATGTCTCACTTAACAGAAATTTTGGGCTCAGTTGTGGTCATAAGTCAAGGACTACTTGTACTTTGCTGCTTTGAGCTGTTTCAAGTCTGGAAAACTAAGAAAGTTTTGTAGATGAATTCTGCTGCCATTGTTGTTGTTAGTTGTGAAGTCGTGTCCGACCCATCATGACCCCATGGACAACTTTCCTCCAGGAAAGTTCCTCCAACTGTCCTCTACCATCCCCCAGAGACCATTTAAGCTCATGCTGATTGCTTCAGTGAATCCATTCAGCCACCTCATTCTCTGCCATCTCCTTCTTCTTTTGCCTTCACTTGTTCCCAGCATTAGGCTCTTCTCCAGTGAGTCCTTCCTTCTTATTAAGTGGCCGAAGTATTTCAGTTTCATCTTCAGGATCTGGATATCTAAAGAGCAGTCAGGGTTGATCTCCTCTAGGACTGACCAGTTTGATCGCCTTGCAGTCCAAGGTACTCGCAGGAGTCTTCTCCAGCACCATAGTTCAAAGGCCTCAATTCTTTGATGCTCAGCCTTCCTTATGGTCCAACATTCACAGCCATACATTGCAACTGGGAAAACCATAGCCTTGACTATATACACTTTTGTTGGCAAGGTGACATCTCTGCTTTTTAGTATGCTGTCTAGATTTGCCATAGCTTTCCACCCCAAGAGCAAGCGTCTTATAATTTCTTGGCTGTAGTCCCCATGTGCGGTGATCTTGGAGCCCAGGAAAATAAAATATGTCACTACCTCTGTTGCCATACAACTGTATATATCAGATCTAACCTTTTTAATTAACACAACCAGCATTCTTTGTTCATGCCGGATGGAGAAGTTGCGGGAAGGGAAGTCAGGTAAGGCAAGTTTATGGCCACTGCATAATCAAATCTCTACTCCTTTTTAATGTGTGAAACATGTTTAAAAAAGAGTCAGAGTTTCAATCATGATACTGCAGGTGCCATCTTGATGTCTTTTAAAATTTTCTGTCTTCCCACTGTATACTTTTTGTTGGATTGTAGCAGTCCTGATCTTGGGGTTTATGAAAATGAGGCTCAACTTGGCTGTTTTTCTGCAATCTCCAGACTCCTGCTTTATACTCATATGTTGCTTGTAGAGGGAAATGCTCTGTATACATATACATAGATGCCTGACACAGAGGAAAAAAGATTCTGAGAAAGTTAGTGTTTAATTTCACTGTGACGAGGTGTAATTTAACATGTCAGCCTTTTGGCTGAAAGAGAGAGTTAGCAAGCCTGTTTCAAGAGTCAGAAAAATATTTTAGGTCTTAGGCCAAGTGGAGAATGAAATTGTTAAGGTTGTTTCCTCACAAAACACACTGCGGGGGGGAGGGGGTATCTCTCTCTCAGTTCAGCCGAAATATAAGCAGACTGGCTGCTAAAACAGCATGAAAATCGTTTTCCCTTGAACAATTTTCTGTAATCTATTTTGGGTTAGAAAATAGCACCTGTGCACTACTGACCAAATGAGCATATTTAACCTACTGCCAGTGATTTCATTGATATTTGGTAAAGCCTAGGGCAGATTGTTTCTGTTTCCTGTGCTCCTGAATGTACTAAATGTTATTTAAATACATTCCAGAACTGCACATTGCAAGAACAAACCCCCTGGAAAGGGATGAAGTGGGGAGAAGACATGGCCAAGAGACAGATTATTCCATGGAGCTCTGGAACTAATGTTCCAGCAGGACAGAATATGCACATGTGATTTCTTCTCACAGAGATCACCAGAGCTGAACTGATTCCAAGGAAGCATGTCAGTACAGTAGATCCATGCCCAAACTGTGGGCATGTGATTCCTGACCCATTTTATTAAGCCAGGCTTGCTTAACCATAGCTTTTTGAATAAACGACTGCTGGCTCAGTTCATAAACACTAAACCACAAATCCTTGTTTTCTATCCAAAGGATTGGATGAATGTAGCCTACTAAGCCAAAACTGAACAAGCCATAGAAGGCTTATCACAGTACTAGATTCTGTTAGGTAAGTACAGATGTGGATACCCACATACACACACATTTACACTCAAACACATTTGGGTTAGGGGTACCAGATCAAGGCTGCAAAACTCTGAATGATCACACAATGGCACAACAAATTAGAAAGTTCTGTCTCATCATGATTATCTGCTCTTTGCAATCCAGGTCAGAATCTGGGTACAAAAAAGCAAAAGCTGTTTTACAGCATACACAAAGAGTTGTGTGTAAACTGTCTGTAATAGCTTCCTCTAACTCAGTGGAGAAGCTGGCAGGAATTCTCATCTATGCTGAGGTGAGAACGGCAATGTCCAACATTGTTGTAAAAATAATTACATTAAACTAAATTGAAACATCGTCGGCATAACTATGTCCTGTAGAAAGAGATAGGGGATGTCATGGGTTAGAGGTGACACCAAATGTCATTGGGATGCAGCAAGGATGAAGAGAGCTCAAGAAACAGAGGATAAAAAGGTTGAACTTCTCCAGAATTGCAAGAAAAGGTAGAGAATGAGGAAATAAGAAAAGATGGCAGGAGAAAGGGAAGACCAGTTCAAGAATATGTGCCAAGCACTAATTATTGTGACAGTTCCTGAACACAACAATATCTGCTTTCAACAAGACTTCAAGGAAGAAATAGCAAGGCAAAATGTACAGTGTGCATGATATAATATTTCTGCTGATGTTGTACCATGACTAAAGTCTACCCTTATGCTTAGTGACATTTCTATTCTCTGGAGAAACCACCATTTTCTGCTGCATGAAGGGAAAGGCCATAATAAACTATGTGCAACCTCTACCTAAGGAACCGCTCAATCTATATAGCAATGATGAACTTACTGCAAATGAGTTCAAGAAGAACATCAGACAAAATAACTGCCTCTTTCAAATGACATTGTTTGGTGCCAAAGAAGGTCTTCCAATGAGGAACAAATGGAATCCTATGATTATACAAGGGGAATTCCATCATCACATTGAACAGTTAATGCCAGATCCTAACCAGTAAGCCAAATTTATTCAAATTTACTTCATGGATCCTCAAGACATCTTAGAATTGAGAATCGATATATTCTACAATGATGGAATTCAACATGAGATTGTTGAATTATTGGAGAAACTATTACAACGAAACCCCTATATTGAGTCCCTTCAGCCTGCAAAAGAACAAATTTTGAGACATGCCAGAAGTTTCCATTGTTATTGATCCTGACCAGAGAACAGCATTTGAACATGAGAAAAGATTTAATGCACAAATCGCTAACGAACTCACCATCATTGAAGCGTAGCCACATATATGTTCATTATATATGTGGCAAAAATGAGGCCTTTGGGGATGTGGTAATTTTTGTCAGCTTCTACTAATTGTGAAATGAGGAAATGTGGATGTGCAGAATTCATGCAACCAAAAAATCATACTTATGGAAATGCTTTGTCAAGTTTCAATTAAGGAGAAATATGTGATTGAGGGAGGGAGAAGGAAGATATCCTGAATTCTTATTGGATGTTGGAAAAAACAAAATTCAGAAAAATCAAAATGATGAAATAGAAATATCTGAGGATATGGTTCTGCAGCAAGAACTATGGTAAAATATGTACATTTCATCTAGCCAACATTTAACAATCCTGAAGAACTGTTCTCAAAGAATTCCATCTCAGTTTCTCTCAATAAAATGGAAAGAAAAATCAATTCCATATGCAGTAGATGCTTCTCTGGAATGCTGAAAGAATATTGTTCCTGCCACTGCTGCCAATGAAGGAACTAACACTACTTATTTTCCAGCAGAATTCTTTGATTCAATTGAACTCTCTGGATTGCCACCACTTAAACTGGAATGAAGATAAGATCTCCCATATTTTAATGAGGAACTTGGATCTTCCAAGGCTTGAAATGGAACACAGACAATACAAGATTAACTCCATGAAAATCTCATTGATTCTATAGAGATATTGCAATTTTATATTCCAAATTTGTTCAGGATAATTAATATTAGAATAATTATGTCTACTATTTGTTGATTTAAAGAACACTGTAGAGTAAAAATCCAAAACTGGTAAAGTAAATCTTGAATTTTAGATACTACTAAATCTATGAAAGCAAGGTAAAGGTAAAAGTTTTCCTGTCCAGTAATGTCCGGCTCTAGGGCACTGTGCTCATCTCCGTTTCTTGGCCAAGGAAGCCAGCATTGTCCGAAGAAAATTTCTATGGTCATGTGGTCAGATATGCCAAGGTGCATAGAATCCTGTTACCTTCCCATCGAAATGGTACCTATTTATCTACTTGCATTTGCATGCCCACGGCTGGTGGGCAGCAACTGGGAAATGAATAGGAACTCACCCAGTTGCACGGGGCTGAGGTCTCAAATCCAGGCTGTCAGCTTTCCAGCTGACAAGCTCAACGTCTTTAACTACTAAGCTATTACATCCCTGTAAAAGCAAAAGGTATTTTAACTTAATATATTGCCATTCCTCAGTTTCTGATAATCCAAATTTGCTTGCAAAGGATTTAAAAACGTGATTGGCAATTAAGCTGATCTAAAATACTAATACTGCTACTCGCTCATAAATTCCAAAATAAGGCTTTACAGCAATCACATAACTGGGATTTCCATGCTATCTGTTGTTCATGTGAAGACATACTTCCATCCTTTCAACTACACGTTGCAGCTCTTTATCTTGGAAATACAGCTCAATCTTTAAATAATTTGATGCGAAAAGTATCTAATTGTGCTCTGGATGGTTTCTGAACCTGATCACTTGGATTTAATCCGAACATAAAGTGGAAGGTCAGGAAAATTAAAAGTCCCCATAATCCTATCGTAGCCATATTTGAGTAAAAGAAATCTTTCAACAAAGAAACTATAATGGGATAGCGCAGACTCTAGGGGGATATCCTTCCCATTTAAAAAAATCCTTAATAATTAAACAATCTACTTGAAATACCTTACAGATATCCATTTCAATCAGCCTTGGAAAATAATGAGCCTCTCTAAATCAATTAGTGATGCTTCTTTTCTTCTCCAAATTCATGGAATCCTAACCCTAATCCAAGTGGATTTCCATTCCAATAGGATTTTTTTCATTTATTTATCCAGTCAAGGAGAACAAGGGGAATTTGAAATGAAAGAGCTTTCCTAAGGTCTTTTGTGCAAGATTTATCTGATCCTATAAACTGACTGGGGATTTTAACTATATATTGATATTAAGAATAGTAAATGTTGATAGTCATTTATTATAAGAGCTGTGGTGGTGCAGTGGTTAGAGTGCAGTACTGCAGGCTAATTCTGCTGATTACCAGCTGCCAGCAGTTTGGCAGATCAAATCTCACCACGCTCAAGGTTGACTCAGACTTCCATCCTTCCGAGGTGGGTAAAATGAGGACCCAGATTGTTGGGGGCAATAGGCTGACTCTGTAAACCGCTTAGAGAGGATTCTAAAGCACTGTGAAGCGGTATATAAGTCTAAGTGCTATTGCTATTGCTATTATGAATAGTAATGTAAGAAATACATCGTTTGATAGACTTACAGTACATTTTTACAATTCACAAATGGAGAACTCTTCATTGGAGTAATTATTCTAGGGTATTTACAAAAATTCAACCTGTCTCAGAACTGTTAGTGAGCAGCTGGTATATGACATTCTTCATTCTCAGGTTGGACCAAGATAAAGGCAATGTCATGGGAGTATGGAAAAATATTGTCATGATATACTAGGGCCGTGGTAGGGGTAAGTGGGGAAAGGCCCATCAGTTTATATTTCTCCATGTTGTGAGAAAACGAAACATATACCACATATATGCATATGCTCACCTGAACAGACATCTCCATTTTCTGTTGCAACGAACACATTACATCCATATGTGCTGAAGGCATATGCAGGATATTTCTTTTGCTGCTATAGTACATTTTATAAAGCTTCTAAGGCTGCAACCTTGGTGTGCAGTAGCAGCCAGATATCAGCAAATGCCAACACTCCATAGGTCCTTTTGAAGTAATAAACTCCAGATGGAAAGAGGGGGTGGGAGGAGAACAATAAAGACAGTCCAATATTCATCAGTGACCAGGATCACATTTCAAAAGTGCGAAAGAGAAATATACTTAGTAAACTTCCACTTCTAACATATTTTTATGAATTGAGAAAGATAGATTCCACCTTTAAGAATCACACGTTGTTTTCCAAATGTTTCTGTTGGTTTAATTTTCGGTCTTCGAGGTGGTAAAGATATGGAAGTAATTGGTTACTATCTATTTGCATAAAGACTGTTTTAGCACCAGCTCATCTCAGCAGAACAGCACTACTTCAAACATTTTCTCTCTAGTTTCCCTGTTGCAAATACATAATTCAAGCACAAAATAGGGAATCTGTGGACATATTTACCTCCGGGTATCCTTTTTGAAGGCAGGTGGTCCCACTTAAGATCCTTTCAAAGCCCTGTTATTTTCTCAGAACACCATTGGAGCTAAAGGCCCTAAAGGCAATCTTTGAAATAAAGATAATGTTAGAGGCTGGCACTGTCCTTTTAACCTACCAGATGCACATTATTTACCTTTGAAATAAACTGATTAATGTATATTATTATTTTAGTCAGATAGGATAAGAACATCAGGAACCAGCCATACAGGGTGACTGGGATACCACATGGGCTACTCCTACACTGGCCTAGCCCATTTAAACATATGTTTTACGGTTCAGCACAATGTGGAAATCTGGCAGTGCCTATCTCAATTCCGCTTGAACTGAGGTTTTATAAAGGGTAGTAGCAATAATGACGAGGAGCAGGAGGAAGAGCCGCAACCAAGACAATGGTCGGACAAAAGAAATATGCATCCAAGACAGAAACATAATTTGAGAAACCTCTCAAGACTTCACCCTCCCGGTGAAGAATTGAAGAATTGGCACAAAAAAATTAAAAGTGCAAAACAAAATTTCTTTAAAAATGCAAGTAAGCCTGGAAGATGGTTGGCATATAAACTGACAAAAGAGAGAGAAAATTGATACATCAACTAATTGATGAGAAAGGGACTTTTTACTATCAGAATGAGGAGAAAAAAACTATTATAAAAGAGTACTATGAGAAATTGCATGACAAGGAGGAAATTTTGGAAAATAAAATACAACAATATTTGGTACAATCTGAACTCCCTAAGGTACCTGATACAGTTAAAGATATGCTGAATAAATGGATAACCCTGATGGAATTTGACAGAAGTGATTAAGAGATATAAAATAATAATAAAATACCAGAGCCTGATGGGCTACCAGAAGAATTTTACAAACAACTAGAAGAGGAATTAAGCCCAGTGATATTGGAAGTTTATAATGAAGTACTACTAGAAGCAAAAATACCAAATTCATGGATGGAAGCAAATATCACTCTTATACCAAAAGATGATTCAGATTTAACCCAGATAAAGAACTACAGGCCAATATCTTTACTTAATGCGAACTATAAAATATATGCTTTGATAATAGCAGAAAGATTAAAAAGTACTTGAGCAAATTTATACATCCAAATCAGAACGGATTTCTGCCAAAGAGACACACTAAAAACAATGAGAATGATTCTAAATACATTGGAGTATTATAAAATGTACCCTGTAAAACAAATGGCATTGATGTTTTTAGATGCACAGAAAGCATTTGATAATGTTAATCGGCCGTTTATATTATTACAACTAAAATATATGGACTTTGGGGAGAGATTTATTAATATGATTAAAGCAATATACTGTAAACAATCAGCCAATGTGATAGCAAATAGAGACATGACAGAGAACTTAGATATTAAGAAAGGCACTAGACAGGGATGTCCACTGTTCCCTCTGCTATTTACAGTGTATTGGAAGTGTTAACCAGGAACATTCAGCAAGATGAAGAAATAAAAGGAATGGAAATAAAAAAAGAGAAATACAAGCTACAGGCATTTGCAGATAACTAGAAGACCCCCTTAGAAACTGGATCGAAGCTAATTAGAAAAATAGAAGAATATGAGGAAGTAGCAGGATTGAAAATAAACAAGGATAAGACAAAAGATTTTAGTTAAGAATCTTACAGATACACAAAAAAAGTGTTGATGGAATGAATTAATAGACAGATAGTTAAAAAAGTACTTAGGAATACAATTAACAGCAAAATGTGCAGCAATTAAAGAGGATAGTTATATGGAACTGATGAGGCAAATTAAACTAGACCTGGAGAAATGGAAAGATCAGTAACTGTCATTAACAGGAAGAATAGCTACTATAAAAATGAATATCTTACCAAGACTGTTATATATATTCCAAACAATATTAATAAAACTGGAGAAAAAATATTTTGAAGAATTAAATAAAATGATATCAAGATACATTTGGTTAAGGAAAAAAGCAAGAATAGTTTGAAAATGTTGCAGCAGGACAAAAAAAGAGGGGGCTTTGGGCTACCAGACTGGGAATTGTACTATCAGGCCTCGATACTCACATGGGTGAAAGAATGGATCAGCCTGAGACATACAAGATTATTAACCTTAGAAGGTCACGACCTCCAACTAGGTTGGCACGCTTTCTTATGGTATGGGAAGAATAAGATACATAGTTATTTTCAAAGACACTATGTTAGGAATGCATTGTTATTAGTTTGGTTTAAAATAAAAAAACAACACTATTTGAAAATACCAGTATGGCTTTCCATGATGGAAGTATTGGTACATCCTAACGTTATTAACATGGAAAAAATTGTAAGATACCATGATATTTTAAATGAAAAAGGGGAATTAAAACCAAGCAGGACATTGCATGGTAGCCACACATGCAGATACAATCCCGTTACGAGAAAGATGCTAAAACGTATGGTTTTAACAAAGAGTTAACAGAACTAGACCAGATATTAACTGGAACAGATGAAAAACTGATAAAGAAATTATATTGGTATTTATTAAGTATTAAACTTGAAAGTGAACAGGTAAAGGAGACAATGATTGCTTGGGCTAAAAAATTTGGACATGCAATAGAATTAGATAAATTCTAATTTATCTAATTAGAACTTTGGGATAGAAATATTAAATTGACTATATAAACTGCATATAAAGAAAATTTGTATAAAATGTTTTATAGATGGCATTTTGCACCGGCAAGACTGATAAAAATGTATAAAAATAGATCCGCTAAATGCTGGAAGTGTAATCATCTGTTTCATATTATATGCGGCGGACACGCCCAAAAGCTAAAAAATATTGGACGAAAATACATACTTGGTTGGAAAAAATGATAAAGCAGCATATAGATTTGAAACCAGAGACATTTTTGTTGGGCATTCTACCGGAAAAATATGATAAAAGGATTTTATATCTGGTTTTACATATACTAACCACAGCCAGAATTTTATTTGCACAGCAATGGAAAAAGGATGAGATTCCGTCAGATGAGAATGTAATTAAGAAAATACTAGAATGCGCAGAAATGGATAGATTAACGTTTACTATTAAGAATAAAGAAGAAACTGAATATTTTTTGATATGGGATGTATTTTATCGATGGCTAGACAATTGGAACAGAAATTAGAAAAGAGGACACATAAAAAGAGGAAATGTTAAAGTTGAGAGTTGTTAAAGAAGATAATGTTAAGTATTATTATTATATTATATTATCAATATTATTGTGAAGAATACTATAACAAGTATGTGGATTATGACTTCTTAAAACAACTGTACCCAGATCACAGTTTGATGGAAATTGAATTTTTATGTTATATAAAGAAAATAAATAAAACATGGGGGGGGGAAGACTTTACCCTCCCTAGTTACCTCGAAGATGGAGGATAGAGGTGCATTCAGACTTTCAAGATTGATTGCAGCCTTTTGAGGTAGACCAGTTTGGGAAACCCATGTTATGAATCTTGATGCTACTTTTATTATAAGATTACATATAAGATTGCACCTCCTACTCTTTATCTTCCAGAAAAATAAGAAGCAGAAGGTGCTCTTACTCCAAGTATATTCTCTGCTGTCATTTCTCAATATATGCTGAAGCATTCTTTTTAGGAATGTTGCCTTTTGTTTTTCCCACTTTCTCTTTAAAATTCTTTTGATATCTAGATATGTCTTTATTGCTATTAAAAGGGAATCTCTCATTACAATCTTCCCCACATGCAAAACTGAACATTACACCGCTACTCTTGTGGTTTAGCATTAGCCAATTCTGCATTTCAGGATTTTGAGCAGAAAGAAAAACACTTTTTTCCTTAGCACTGTAGTGTTTTCTTCTTAATGGCTTTGGAGGATTTCCTTTACAATTTTTAGTATTTCAACAACCCTTTCCCCTCAGGTGTGTATTCTATTTCATTCCATTCTATCACATAAAACATTATTGTTTCTTTTATTAAAACCCTTCATCACCCTTCCCAGAAGGCTGATTAATGCAATTCAGATTCATAAATCTAAGTACTATTGATATAACATGTTTGATTTCCCTGAGCTGGATTGAGGCAGATGATTTTTTTTTGTGTCACAATAAAGACTATTAGGGTTGGTTCTAATTGCAGTCTCAGATTATGCTCCCATACTATTCTGTAACTTTCACCTTTAAACAATGGTTTATAGTGCAAATATTTCCAGACAATATATGCAGGTAATATACTAATGGCTTAAGAGATACTAGAAACACCAAATCAGGTGCTGCACACTGAAGTGTGATACATAAAAATTAATTCTTCTCATGTTCTATATTGCCAAATAATGCCTGGAGGAGGTCCATTTTAGTATATTAGATTTGCATATCATAAAGATTTGCATATCATAAATTTGTCTTAATATTTGTTAAATTGGTTCAAATCTGAAGAACGCTTGGTACTGTAATTATTTATCTTTGCAACTTAATTAGCTTATTGAAGATAATAGGAGTTGGGGTTCAATTACCACATATATTGATATTTATCTGCTGGGTTGGGGGGACAATGTGGAAGAGGAAGTTTGACAATATCATCTAATTAGGTAACAAAATTGAAACCAATAGTTCAATTATTGATTTAAAATAACTGTCAAAAGGATACTTAAATTTGTGGCAGAAAGTGCTCCAAATCAGATTCAGCTATTTTTTTAAATCAGAAACAATTCTTGTAATTGATGCACACAATTGGGTACAATGTAACAAAGACTTCAGAAATAACTGAAATACTGGATCAAATATATGCTTTTATTAAAAAAATATGTCCAAATATAGCACTGGAATCCATTTAGCAGCAACCAAAGAAGGCACAAGGGTAAAGAATCCAACCTGGACATATTAGAAAATCTTAAACATAGTCTTAATCATGACTTTGGAACCCTACTTGTGGCAATTCACATTACATATATCACAACATCTCAGCTACCTTGAAGGTTACAAGAATATTGGCATATTGTAATTTCTTCGGTATATCTGACTGTTGTTTTACTGTAATCTCTTGCAAATCTATGCCAAAAACTTTGTGATCTCAAGCAATTACATTCTAGGTATGAAGTTTGGAAATACTTTAGTACAGATGATATGAACTCCATGCAATGACATGTACAAATTTCTAATTGGTTAAAATTTTTAGCAGTAAGTATATATAACATAGATACCTTTACTAAACTAATTTATCCAGTGATTAAAGCACCTACCAAATTACTGTTGTATTCTCTTTGTGCCCTATTTTTATTCTTGCTGCCAAACACCGGCTCAAACTGTATTTCATGAAGACATCAACCTTGTATAAAACTCTTTTAATATACAAACTCACACTCCACCTGAAGTGTAAATAGGTAACTTTATGTCCATATTATGGCTTTAAATGACTGCACATTATCAGTAGTTGGGGCACTGGTGTAAAAGTTAAGTACATGGTAAATAAAGGTAAATGGCAACTCATAATGGTACTGGAATGAAGAAATATGCAATTTAAATTCAACAAAGATTGTTAAAAAGCTAATGTTTTCAAGAAATTGAGAAGTGGAATGATCTAAACAAAAATTCACATACAAGGGTAATAAAAGCTCCTTAAATACTTAATTCCATAGGATCCCATAATATCATGTTAAGTATCTATTTTGACAACAGGTTGTGTTTTGTTTTGTTTTTGAAAAATGTTCAAAACAGTATATTTTACTAAGAATGATTAAATTAAGAGTATTCTGTAAACTTTCATATCCTTTTTTCATGTACTTTAACTTATTTCAAAAAAAATTGTTATGCATTTAGAAAACTAGGGAAAGAAAGACTTTTGAGAACGGAGACATCATCTTGCTCAAGTGAAATATCAGCGTAACAATGATCCCCAATTTAAACAATCTAAAAATAGAGCTAAAGTTTTATATAGTGTATGTTCAGTGTTCCAGTATTTGTATATCTGTTTTTGTGTGTGAAATGACCCGATAAAGTCCAAGTTTCAGTTCCATCAGATGATAATCCAAATAATTTAAATCTCTGAAGTGCAAGTCATCACACTGTGAAAACACCAGCATCCTAGTGTTGTGTGAGACAGAAATCGAAGCAATCCAACCTCAGTGTAGTATAGATTCTGCAGCTTCTCTGATAAGGGAGGCAGCTTTGTCCAATTCCTGCTCTGTTTGTTCAACCGTCACTACCACCCTTATGCTGGAAGGGACAAAAACAGTCAATTGACATCTATTTGCTGTTCAGTTTTTAAAAAAAATAGCTTTACAATATCAACAGATTAGTATAATTAGACCTATACATATTAAATGAAGTTAAAAGCTGTAATTAGATTTATTACATCAATTGTAATGGCTACTGATTTTTTTCCTAATGCAATCAACAATGTGGTTATTTTCCAAGCCCCACAAGTTATTTGAGAGATTATATTTGTCTGTACCCTCAAACTCATGCAAATCTGCACGTCTTTTAAAATCAATCCTTAAGACTATCTTAATTCTATCAAGACTTTCTAAGGCAGGGCTGTCAAACTCGCGGTGTCAAACTTTGTCATCACGTGATATATCATGAGTTTTTCCCCCTTCGCTAAATCGGCGGTGGGCATGGCCAGCGTGTGACACATCTGGCCCATGGGGCCGCGAGTTTGACAGGCATGGAGTAGCAACAAACAAGAGACTCTAGCCTAAGAATGTAGATTGTTTCCTCCATAGAGGTTCTATTTCCAGTTTAAGATTTCTCTCTTTTAATAATTTGTGTTTTTGTATTGTTATAGATATTGACATTTAAAGATTGGATAATCATTTTTCTGAGATGGTATAAAGAACCTTGCCTTGGGCAGGGGGTTGGACTAGAAGACCTTCCAACTTTATGATTCTTTGTTAGATTGAATGGGTTTGTTTTATTTGTATACTTTGTAGATATTTTACTTGTAATTATAATAATGCAAATTGTTGTAACTGTTACTATATTCACTGGACTGTGCTAGTTGCTTTGTCTGTTTCTATTGGGAGAAAGGTAGATTTAAAAATGGATTAAATAAAAATATACATAAACGGGACAGTCAATCTGTAAAGGACTGCTACTTGAAATAGATAATACTGTGATTGGCTAATGGAGTGACTCAGTATCAACCATAGCTTAACACATTTCATGATTCCATCAAGTTTGAGGGAGCTTCAAATAAAAAATCTATTTTTACATTCCATTGTTCAGCCAGTGAATAAAAAAAGAACCCTGTAATTGTCTTATATTTAATGGCAATCTAGAAACATAGTAGAAATATTTAAACTGTATAAATTCCAGTACAATCTGCCACAACTATACCATGTAACTGGACTTGAAAAATTTTATTTTAATAGAATGAAGTAGTTACTAACCTGGGTGGAGGAAGATATTTTTCTTCTTTTTCCAAATAGCGAGCCTGAGTTAAAGCAATACCTCTGTTCATACACTGGAAAAAAGACATAGAACCAGTTATCCAACTAAGTATATGAAATGCCCATTAACGTTTTTATTATGGAATACTGGCAATATAATGTGAAGTTTATTGAAACAAACCAGTATTGTGAAACAAAGCAATGTTGACATAATCTTGGTTTGTTGTCCTCTCTTTGTAAATATACTAGCAGTAATTGAAGACAGATGAACCTTAGTTTAAGACTCATGACAAAGCACAAAACTATTGGATCATGTTTCCTGCTCAAGTTCAGTTTTGAAGGATTCAACATTTTGTAAAGAAATCTTACATATTCTACAATTTTTTTCAGTAGCCTCATGTCACTTTCTCGAGATCCAGTACTTTCTTCTAATTGGAGATGTAATGCTGGGGAAAACGACTGTCCAACTAGTCGTAGACCAGGAATCCTACAAAAAGCAACCACATTAAATCAAACACAGGATTATAAATATAACTGAAAAAAATTTGGGTTTTTTTTTTTTTGTTAAAATTTTTGCTGTTACAGTGAACTGAATATAGCACACTGCTTGGTTTCGTGCAAGGCTGCAAAGCAGGAATTACATAATCAAGTCCACACTTCACCTCAAGGCAGATGACCTGATCACTAAGATCACTACCCACAATCTTCCATAAGAGTAGAAACAAACAGCATGTAATAAAGCAGGTTGTTAGTGTTAGCTACAGATAACCATGAACAGTTATTCTATCTAGCCTGCCTGATCTACTTTTCTGTTCCTGTTCAAGTTAGCTGTATCAGTATTTTTCTACATGTACTTGTTAAGCGTCAAAAGGAAAACATTCCTAGATTAGATGAATGGTAATTTTCCTAGGATACCATCTAATTCTAGTTATTCTAAGGGGCATACCATGCTACTTTTGGACATGCTCCATGAAGCAGTATAATTAGGCATTGTTCCTGCAGTTATCTCTTCTCCCACTGCTATACAAGCTATTGCTCTAGCTTAAGACAGACAAGTTGAAAGCCTTGACCTCACTGGACCATTTAAGAGTTGTATATGCCAAAAATATGCTTCTAAGCTAAGATGAGCAGAAAAAAAGGCATTTTCTAAAATGTATTTTTACTGCTACCAATTATTCACAAAAGCATTGCCAACACAGAACTGCTAATCTAATTAACTGAATTAAATCAATGAAATCAAAATTGAGAGCAAGTGGACAACGTCTTAAATGGATTATATAAAGTCAATGCAAAGGTTTGCATGAAGAGACTTGAGCACGATATTTTAGAAAGGGACTGGGATACCTGTAGAAAATTTTATTTCCAAAGACAACAGAATAAAACAAGCTACCAATGTATATTTATTGCGATTTTTCAATATAGCAGTCATTTGTTATGAGAGCTATTTATTAATAGAAAGCCATTATCAAGAGAGAACCAGCATCTACATTAAGACTGTAATGTAAAATCACAATGTAAGCATGGTAATATTATCTAAAATTTAGGCAATTTTGAGCCTAAAATATATTTTATTATTCAGATTTTTATAGAAGGTAAATTTCTTGATTGTTTACATATTACAATAGTATATAAAAGTATACTATATAAAGAAGAATAATTCAATAGCAGCATGGAATCCAAGGAGCTCATAATAAGTATGTAATCAAGAGATCAGTTTGTAATAATATAGGAAGTTATAATCCCAATGGAGTGCTGTTGGAAATTATAGAAATTATAAACCTTTCCAAATTGCTACTTGGTTCAATAGATGTGATTATTTTTTGATAATGAGAAAACAACAGGTCCAGAATTAAAATAACACATATGCTTAATTACTAACAAACAAGACCATATTTTATCATGGGCCAGAGTTACCAGTACACAGCAAGATGAAAATTATGAAATCAATATACTATTCTCGGCAGCATGCATATTGTTGAATTCAGTCAGACATTTCTAACAAAACAGTCTGTTAAAATATTTCAGAAACTAAAATAATGGTTGTAAAAGGAACAGCTGGAGTAATGTGAGAAGACACCTTTGAACCTCAGCCAAATCAAAGCTTTGACATTTTCAGGTTTTGGCCAAACAACACTCTGTAATAAACATAGTCTGAATTTCTAGAGGCTGCTATACAAACCTCAAGTTGATTTCTATGTTACTTTCGTCAGTTACTTAAAATAAACTGTCATCTGACTCAAGTACACATCTCGTCAGAAAAGAATAAGCAAAGCAAAGACAGACACAGGCCCTTTCAGACAAAAGGTCAATCAATTAGAGTGCGTGAGAGAACAGCAGTTAGCTTTTTATAAGCAAGCTGATCATATTCTAATGCAGCAGTTCTCAAAGTGTGGTCTGGAAACCCAGGAAATCCCTAAGAGCCTGTCAAGAAGTCAAATAAATACATATTTTATCGTTTCTCAGTTTTAATTTCTAATACAGTATAGATCGATAGATGTAATCCACATAAATCCTCGATCACTTTTAAGAAATTTAAGAAAGGAGTCTTGAGGCCAAAATGTTTGAGAAACACGGTTGTAAAGGAACACAGTGGAAATCCACACTGTGGATTTTTACGCAATGAAAACATACGTGAGACAAAAAATGTATCAAAAAATTGGGGTTAAAATAGAGATATGCCAAATGATTTATGCCCAGATTGTTCTGTGCATGGTACAGCTAGTTTTGTGGGTGGTTAATGCTGGAACATGCATATTTAGTCTGGATGTGAAACAAAGCAGGAGTGTGTTGTTTTGGATATAAACTGCAACCCCCTTAATTCCAGGAAGAAGTGTCTGGAGAAAAGTAAAAGTGAGAAAAGCCAAGAGTATTTTGGTAACTGAGAAGAGGCAGGATAGCACAAAAGAAAAAGCTATTGGGAAGTGAGGTGAAGCTAAGATGATAAGTTCTATCAGGCTGGAACATCAGTGGCTGATGAGAAACAGGAAAGGGGAAAATGAAGATAAGAGGATATTTGGGAAGATGGAGGATATGGCCATTTAATAGGATATGGTGGAACATATATTTGAGGGGAGAGCTCCACTATCCCATAAAAATCATGAGAACATCCTTCCAGGTATGATTTCAAACAGAATTGGGAGCAAAAAAAAATATTACGGGTGTTGTTCCTATCCTACAGTAAACTGTTTTCAACTCAAAATATTTTTGAGTTTTTTTAAAAACTACACCGCTATAGCTATAGTAAAAAGCAGTTGTTTACACTAAAATAGCTTAAATATAGAGGTAAAAACAGTAAATGTTTCCTTTATTGTAATCTCTTTAAAAGTCATTTTTCTCTTTCAAGTTTTAAATAAGATGACAATGAATTTACTTACCCTTGTAAAGCTTTGTATATTTGCTTACATTTTTGTCTTAAAACCTGAAAAATGCCTAAACAAAAAATAAACAAAAAAAAAATCCTTGAATATCAGTTTAATTAGTTAAGCATGACATACCAATTTAAATAGCTATTTAAGACTGCATTGCAATTTGTCCATTCTTTCTGTCTTTTACCTTTCCAAAGTCACAAGAGAAAATATACCATTACATCTCTTTTCTGCCCTTGCGTCTGCCCTATGGAACATTCGTCCCTCTGAAATGAGATTAGCCCCATCCCTTTGGATATTCTGAAAAGCCCTCTGTACTATGACTTGTTTAGATGGCTCTGCTGTTGAGGGAGACATTTTTGTTTTCCCTCTTCCACGGTTATGATATTTATTAGTATGGTTTTTTATATTTTAAAGTTTTGTTTCTGTTGTTTTTATCTGATTGTTGTGCACTTCCCAGAGTTGCTTTCCGTAAGATGAATGACTTTATAAATTTAATTACTTTAAATATAAGCTAAAAGTAAAATAAAATTTAGTTTTGTTCTATCCATGCCAACTATTTTTGGAATATGACTTCCAGTTTAAGGCTTAAAGACCAAATGTGACCCTCATCTTAGACATTCTCTGTTCTTGCTCTAGAATCAAGCATTTTCTCCTTCTAGTTGCTTGCAGGAAGAGAGTGGTTTGTAGTTTCAAAGGAAAAATGGTCTCTCTATGAACCTTTTAACTGCACATCTTCCATTCCATTCTCATTTCCCCCATATTCATTTAATAATAGCCACAACACCTAATTTTGTATGATGCCATCCTAAGAGTTTTTAATGTTATTAATTTTATGTACAATATTTCAACTTTTTAGGTTTTAGGTTTTAGGTTTTATTTGATTTGTATACCGCCCTACTCCCGAAGGACTTTTGTCATAGATTCTAATGCTGGATTTGATTTTTTAAAAAATCACTTTGAGCATAGTGGTTTGGTTTTTTAACTATAGTTCCAAAATCATTTCCTAGCCAATTTCGTTTCATAGGATGCCTTTCTTTAACAAATCTGAAAGTTAAGCATAGATATAAAATACTGATGGCAGTGAATCCTCTAAAGCTCTTCTATCCATTGTGCAGCTGAGACTACACTTAGTGCTGCAAATCTTTTAGATCTGAAAGCTGAACTTTTTAAAATCATTATTTTGGCAAACAAGGAGTGCTTGGGATGCGATGATGATAATATAATGATAGGATTGGTGCCTATTGTACTAGAGCAAGAGTGTCAAACTTGCGGCCTGCAGGCTAGATGCATCATGCGCTGAGCAGCGAAGGGGGGGGAAAGTTGTGATAGGTCACATGACAACGCTGTGATGATGTGAGTTTGATGCCCCTGTACTAGAGAGACAGGACTTCAACATGAAAATAGAATCTTTAAAAAGGAAGAAAGGATGCCAACTGGGCCCTATATAAACACTGTTTGGGTAAGAAGAATTGAGAGAAAACTAGTCAGACCCATTTATGTGTGAAGGGTGATATCTGCCAAGAGCAAGAATTAAAGACACATGAGAACAATTCCCAAGACATTATCAAATCTGGGGAAAAATGATCTCTCCTGCTGATACATTTGGAAAAAAATGCAATTGCATTTTTTAAAATCAAACTTTACAAATTATAGAAATAAATTCAATACTCTGGGTATGTGTGTGCAGGTCATATCTCATCCATCCTTTCGGCCTATGGAAAGAGGACCAGAAAGGGAATGAATACAGGTAGTCCTCGGCTTACAACAGTTTGTTTAGTGACAGTATGAAGTTACAATAGTACTGGAAAAAGTAACTTATGACTGTTTTTTACATTTAACAACCGTTACGGCATCCCCATGGTCATGTGATCAAAATTCAAGACGCTTGGCGACTGACTCATATTTATGATAGTTACAGTGTTCTGGGGTCATGTAATCCCCTTTTGCAACCTTCTGACAAATAATGTCAATGGGGAAGCCAGATTCACTTAACAACCATGTTACTAACTTAACTTCAGTGATCCACTTAACAATTGTGGCAAGAAGGGTCATAAAATGGAGCAAAACTCACTTAACAAATGTCTCACTTAGCAACAGAAATTTTGTGCTCAATTTTGGCTCAATTGTGGTTGTAAATCAAGGACTACCCTGTTTCTCCCAAAATAAGACATCCCCTGATAATAAGCCCAATTGGGCTTTTGAGCGCATGGCAATAAGGCCAAGTGCTTATTTCAGGGTTCAAAAAAATATAAGACTGGGTCTGTATGACAGATCAATAACAGGTCACATAAGTGACTTTCACAGGGAGTTTTTATTTCTGGAAACATGAGTTTGAGTTCCAAAATGCTGAGACAATCTGGAGTTCTATTTAACAAAGATGGGTAACACTCTGACTATTGTGAAGAGTTTGAGTACCACATTTTAATAAGGAGTTAGAGAAAATGGTCCAGGTTCAAAGACAGGGTGATGCAGATGTTCATAGAACTAAAAATTAACCTCTATGAAGAAAGACAAAGTATTTGGGTATATTTAATCTTGGCAAATTATCGAGTGGAGGACATAATTGTATTTTTCAAATATCACTGTTCTTCTCTCTTCTATGGTGCAGTGCATGAAATGAAGCTCTTTGAACATTTCTTAAAGTCAGTTAAAGTGCTAGAAAGTCTTTTTTATGTAAACATGCAAACTCTGTTACAACATTATGCATTCCTCACTGCAATTAACATAGACATAAGTGAATATAAGTTTGTGTGTATGAAATATAGACATCATTCTGAAAACTCTCAGTTCATGTACTTTTTTAAATGTAACTTGATTCTCTAAAATTATTAAATTCTAGAAAAATTACCTGGATTTTCTTGCATGATATTGAGAGCTTCAATGGCGGCAGCAGCTAGGAGGGGAGGCAGAGAGGCTGAAAAGCAATAGCCTTGACCAGACAGCCTCTGAGAACAAAAGAAATAATATTAAAGGAGCAAATTTCCAAGTATTATCTATATACAGAACATACTGGTAAATATACAACTATTTGTTTAATTGAAAGGAAGGAAAAATCTAAATTTAAGAACATTTTATCCAAAAAAGACAGCAATCAGTTAATTATGTATTTTATCTAATTTGGCTCTTGCTAGTTTAAGCAACATATACATTATAATAATTTTAAAAAAATGTCTTCCGTTCAATCATGTCTAATTCTCTAAGTTTAATTCTAAGTGATTGCAAGGACAAGTTCCTCTAGATTTCTTGGCAAGTTTTTTCAGAAGCGTCCCAGAGATGCTTTTTTCAAGAGGCAACTGGATTTTCTTGTTTTTCTCTGAGGATGTTTCATTTCTCATCCAAGAAGCTTCTTCAGCTCTGGATGAGAAGAGAAACTTCTTCAAAGAAAAACAAGTCCAGTTGCCTCTTGAAAAAAAGCACCTTTGGGACAACCATGACCTGGATGACTGAGAATCTCCATAGACATTTTTCAGAAGTGGTTTGTCATTGCCTCCTTCCTAAAACTGAAAGAGAGTGACCAGTCTAAGGTCACCCAGCTGGCTTTATGCCTAAAGGGGAACTAGAACTCACAGTCTCCTGATTTCCAGCCTGAACCACTGCACTAAACTGGCTCTTATATAACTGCATTAACACTTAATAAATCTAACTTAACTTTTCTATTTCAAAACTATTTGAGAAGTAAAACAATATTTCTCTTTGTAAATATAACAGTTAATATATAGTTGTGTCTACATTCTTATTGGCAGCATCTGCATGGGCTGATGGGCTGATTAATTCAAACTGCATCTTTGCCAACACTGGCAAAAACTACATGCATAACATGACCTGATGGATCACTTTCAAACATGCCAAAATAATCTCGATGTGCAATATTTAAAAATTCTATGCAGTTACAACCATTTTCTACACAGACAACCTCCTTGTCTTTGCAAACGGACTATAACGAGCCTAATATCTATGATAATTGAGGTCATTAGATCAAAAAAGAAACAGAACAATTATCTGTTATTCTAATATCCTTTTAGTGATATTTTCTTCCCACCCGTCACCTATCAGCTACAACATGTCAAGGCAAATTCATTCTTGGCAAGAAAGGTGAATCTATTCTTCAGTACCAAATAAAAGCTACTTCTCAGCATCTGATATTAATACAGTATTTCCCCAAAGTTCAGTGCCTGCCAACAATTGATATAATTCTGAATTGACAACATGCAGAGCAAGCAATTTGTAGCAAATATGTGCAAGACTGACAGGATGTGTATTCATGTTCATCTAAAACTTCTATCTGGAATAAGCTTCCTCAAAAAGGTTATCTTAGGAGAAAACATGTAATAGTTTTTCATTTGTATGAAGTGCAGGTAGTCCTTGACTTCGTTTAGTGATGTCCCAAATTATAATGGCACTGAAAAAGACTTATAACCGTTTTTTCACAAGACTGCTGCAACATCCCCCTAGTCATATGATCAAAATCCCCAGCCACTTGGCAAGTGGTATGCCTTTATGATGGTTGCAATGTCCTAGGCTCATGTGATCGCTTTTATGACTTTCTGACAAGAAACTTCAATGTGGAAGCCAGAGTCACTTAACAACTGTGTTACTGACTTAACAACTGCAATGATTCGCTTAACAACTCTGGCAAGAAAGGTTGTAAAATGGGGCAAAACTCACTTAACTATTTTGCTTACCAATGGAAATTTTGGGTTCAATTGTAGTTGTAAGTCAAGGACTACCTGCAAAGGAGTTCAAGCTAAATGATGCTGCTTTTCAATGGAGGCCCCTGGGGCAGCCTTCTAGCAGGTTGGCCACCTTCCTAATTCATGAAAATATTAAAACAGCTATTTTATGGAGCGCTTACAATGCAGAATCAGCCATTAGGTATATATGTGGCTCAACATGACAATATATGTTTTCTGGTCTCTGATTGTTCTTATGGGTTTTTTAATTGATTACACATGTTTTTATTTAGATTTACCATAATCCCGTTATTTTTTATAGATCTTGTGAACCACCAAGGGTCTTATTTGATTGCAGTGTGGTATAATTGTTACAATCAATAAATAGGCATACAAATAAATACCTGTATTGGCTACAGAGTTCCATAAAAAGATAACTCTGTCATAGTTTGTCTTTCAAGGTCTTTCACATACCTGGTGGTCAATAACAAAGGTTCGTCCACAGCAAAATCCTCCAATAGAAGCCAGGGAATTTTCCATATTTGCACTTATAAGATCAATGTCATCAATCTAACACAAGAAATGCCAATTGCTTAATGTTAAAAAGTGAAACATAGTTACAGTCATACAGCTGTAAGAAAATAAATCCTAACTCTCCAATGGGTCATTACCGATAAGTAATATAAAAAATACTTAATGAATGAGAGTACATTACAAGAAAGAAAAATACAGTTCACATTTCTGTTACCACATGTATCCATTTGAAGTTTCTTATTCTACCATCAAGTTCTAAAATAGCTAAGTGTAGTTGAGACTATTCTAACCTGTTTATTTTCCTCTCTCCTTTAAAAAAGATTATATATAGAAAAATCAGAGACTATGAACAAAAACATGTTCATTAGTACAAGACTGAGGAAAATTCACAAGTTCAGTGTTTTTATTCTGTCCCACAATTGGACAACATTTGTTTTATGAACTGTTTAAACATAACATATTGTAAACCATGGGTTCCACAATGTCAGTTAAACAGCATGAGGTAACAGGATTTTCTGGCAACTTGTAGTGTGCCATTTCTTACTATTGCAGAGCATAGAATAATTTAAAGTTATCTGTCAGTTTGGGGTGCAGTATAGTGATAATGCCAGCTTAATAACTGTACTCCAGATTGCCCAGGTGAGGTTGCTGATGTTGACCTAATATCTGGAGGCTGTTCAGGTCTGAATGTGATGAATGTGATGAGCAGACTTTGACTGAAACCTGGCAAGATTGAGTATATGTGGCTGTTTGACTCCTTGGGTTGGGGACATTTTCATCAATGTCTTGGATAGCATAGCACTTCTCAATTGGAGGCTGGTGCTCAACTTTTGGATCCTTCTGAAATGCAGTCCCCTGAAGGATTTCCACTCTGTGCATGGAGTGGGGGCTGAAATCCATCAGTGGGCTGCAGGAATGTTTGAGAGGGCAGGCAGCTCCTTTGCTCTGTCTGCGTAACAATTGGGAAGACTGCCTAACAACCACAATCAGAGTGCAGGATGGTCATCGAGCAACAAACAAGACTACCATCTACATGTTATACCATTCTTTATTTTCTTTGAAGATATTACCATAAAAAATATACCAGATCAAAACTTGACCTTCTGGTTGCTAGCATTAAGTTCTACTATCATTTACATATGACATAGACTTACATTTATTCCAAAATGTTCTGTAACTCCTCGTCCATGTTCTCCCAATACTCCAAAGGAGAAACTTTCTTCCAAAAACAATCTCACTTTGTATTTATACTTTAACTTTACCTGCAGATTATGTATTAACAAATGACACAAAGCAATGCATGGTTAATGAATGCTCAGGAAGGAACGATTTATCAAAATAGCAGTAGCATTTAGGCTTATATACCGCCTGATAGCACTTTACAGTACTCTACGGGTGGTTTACAATATGGAAGCATGATTTGCCTATTGCTCCCAACAATCTGGGTCCTCATTTTACCAACCTCGGAAGATGAAAGGCTGAGTCAACCTTGAAGTTGCAGGCTGGGTCAGGATCGAATTGCAGGCTGGGTTTGCCTGCAATACTGCATTTTAACTATTGCACCACCAGGGTTCCTCAAAATATTCTACTGTTGACTATCTTCAGCTCAACACTCAACATGTCCCAAAGGTGCTTTTTTCAAAAGGTAATTGGACTTCCTTGGTTTTGCTTCTCATCCAGTTAGAAGTAAAGAAGCTTCTTGTATGAGAAGTGAACTGGTTTCAAAGGGAAAAAAAATAAGAAAGTCTAGTTGCCTTTTGAAAAAAAACCACTTTGGGACAAATATGATCTGGATGATTGTGAATCTTCCTAGACACTCAATCTTCATGCATTTTAGTTGCTACATGTAGATTTCCCTGATTATGTGCCAATGAACAGATTGAATGTCATCTAGAACCATTTTTTGTTTGTAAAATAATATCAAAATTACTTGCTTAGTAAGTAAGACAAATTGCCTTTTGTGTTGTTTATACTTTTAATTGTTCTATTTTGCAAGTTACCTTGAGGATTGAGAGGACATCCTTCAAAATGCAGATACATTTTAACATATTTTCTCACTAACATGTCATGTAATGGAAAAAAAGTAGCATTTTGAGTAGCTAACCATAGGAAATGTTTTTAAAAGCACCATTTATAGTCAACATCTTCAATATAAAATGACCCCAGGAATGCAGACCTTTCAATGTTTATATTCTATGAAGAAATATTCCTTTGCCAAGAAACTGAAATTGATTTATATTACATAAACTTGACAATTGTGAAAGCATTTTCTTAATTAGTGGAATCTGCTGCTGCTTCAAGATGGTGGAAACTGTACTAGGCTACAGAGGCTACTGACATTACTATAGAACCCTTAGTGAAATCATCCTTTCAAGTGTCGCAGCAGCTCTGATTTTAAACCTGATTTTTCAAAATCAGAAGTAGGTACTGAGATTTTCTAATTATGAATGATTTCATGCTGAATTCCTTGACTTTTCTTCAGTGGAACACTTAGCATATGATTCAGTGGTGGGTTGCCCCCGTTCGCACTGGTAGTAAAACCGGCACGAGGCTCTGCCCACCGACCCCGACGTCATCAAAATGCTTCTGTGCATGCACAGAAGAGCGTGCGCGCGAGCGAAGCAAGCGCACGCGCGTGGCCCCTCTGCGAACCGGTAGTAAAGGTAAGTAGAACCCACCCCTGATAAGGTTGTAGAATAGGTTTACTACTTTGCCTACAAGAGTAGCAAGTCCAGGGACTGACCCTCATAATCCACAGAATGGGACAACTTGCCATAACCAACTCGCTATGGCCACCTTGCCACGGCCAACACACTGTGGGACAATTTGTGACAACCAACTGGCTGCGAGCCAACTCACCACAGAACAATTTAACAATTCAATGATTTATAATGAATAAATAATATTTTAATTTTTGTCATTCACATTTCATTTTGTCCCTCCTTTTGCATCCGTATTTAATTATTCTATTTCACCATTTCTTTGATGTTAGTGTAACTCTTGTCCTTGGCAAGTCGGCTGTGGCAAATTGTCATAGACCCATAATCCCAGCCTTTAAATTATGGCAAACATCTGAACTTTAAATAATGTTTTTCAACAGAAGAGAATGAAATACAGCAGAACCAGACTTCTGACTTGCCATTACCAAATCTCTTCTTCAGCCCTCTGCATCAGCCACCATCTTATTGGCAGCAGCATCAAAGCTGGGAAAGGGAAGACCACACTTAATATCTATTTATAGAAGATTGATTCCATTTTTAGTAGATTGATTTCCATTTTTTAGGTTTGCAGTCTGTAAAAGTTAGTTAGATATTAAAAGAAGGAATTACTTACCAATGCTGGCAGAGGACAAATATCCCCAGTATTAATAAACAACCCCTCTACTACGATAAATTTTCGTGTTACACGGGCTTTTCGAGGGTTCTGCAGAAAAACAAAACAATTTAGTATAAATATATATAAATTTTTATGGAAAACAACTTTTTAGCTTACTTTTCAAATGTTATCATAAGCAGATAGAATGTTGAAAATCAACTTGTTTACTTTATCAGAAGTGCAATAAGCATATTTGTATCTGAGAAAATGCTCTATATATATAGTAAAACACTCCTTTAACATTAAAATGGTTACTGTGTTTTTTTCTTGATCTTGTAAAACAAATATTGATGGAGTTTTATTTCAATAAACATTTTACCCAGAGGAGGAACATGGTACAAAGAATTGATATCGACTATTTTTCTCAGGACCAAAACAATTTACTGAGCATTTTTACACTGCATTATCAATGGCACTTTGGCTGAGCACATGCATTCACGTATAAAATAAAAGGAAAACTGCATCCAATTCTACTGGCAGATTTTTCTCCTGTTTTTTATGGCAGTGCCTTTTCCAAGTAACGCAATCACCAAATTAAATACACTACCTAAATCTATTTCAAATGTTACCATTCAGGATGGTTACCATTGGAAAATAAATAATGAAAAATGAAGTTATTCAAATATGCTATCTACTTAAAAATGTTGTTTGTTATACACTAATTTTTTTCCAAAACCCAATACCTTTTGATCTTCAATCTCTTGCTCTTGTAGTAGATGCTCAAGATCAGCCATATCATTATGCTTAAAAAACTTAATGTTACTTCTGGATGCCTGTAACCCTTTCTGAACAGCAAAGCAGGCTGCTTCATCACTGTAAATACACAATAAATTCTCTCAGTTCACTCATGGTTAGGCTAACTCTTAAAAGATTAATGTTTCCCCACAATGCATGCTAAGATATTGATGCGTTGTCTAACTATTTTCTATACTTGCATTCCTACTTTTAATTGAACTATGTTCAGGTGTTAAAAAATTATGAAGTATTGTTATATTTTTGCAAGCCATGTAGGTAAGTTTTCCTTCTTAAAGGAAAACTTTTGCCCATGTTGGCATGTTAGAGAGGCAAATCAGAGTGTGATCTAGTTGGTTAAAAAAAGGAAAACCTAGAGCTTATGGTTTCAAGAATTGTTAAGGAAACAGTTTTAAAATTCCTTCTATAAAAGCCATATTTTTTCCAAGTTTATGATGTGATATATGATATTGTACCTCATATCATGAGCGGGCATGCTATGGGTTATGCTATTTAGGGAGCTAAATTTGGTGGGCCTTACACAGCAGGCCTTTTCATCTGTGGAACATTCTTCTCTCTGAGGTGAGAGTGGGACCTCACAAACAGTAAATTAAATGTATACTTTAAAGATTATTTTTAGTCTCCTACCTTGCTGACTATGAGCAAGGATGAATTATTGTTACTGGGTTATTCTTGCATCATTCAATGCAATGAACTGCACCAAGGGTCACATTCTGCCTTCAAAGCCCCTAAGGGTAGTCCCTCAAACTTTCCCCAAATATAGCTACAGAACTGAAATTCTAAGACAAATTAAATCTATTAGAAGTAATCTTTTGAACTATAATGAATTTTAATTACAGTGAAATAAATCAAACTTACTTTTTGTCCTTTCCTTATTAATATTTTACCATGCCTTTGGGCCTAATTTTTTTTGCAATTTAATTCTAATTTTAATCAACTTTACTGCTAATTTTAATTGATTCATTGATATTATATTGGATTTTAGTTATATAGGTATTATGTTTTATTGTAATCTCCTGAGTCTATTGCCTTTGATAGGGTTTGAAGGGGAAAAATGATTATTTGACTGGCTTCAATACTTTTGGAATGAGGTTCCCTTCAACATTCAAATGTTGCCCTTGGGCCCAGCAAAGTGTGTGCATTCTTAGGTTTCAGAAATCAGAAAATAATACAAAAGCTGCAATCCTACACACCTTGAGAACAAATTTGATTGAACTCAGTTGTATTTACTTTTGAAAATATGCGTAGATTATAGTTACAGACTCGGGACAAACATAAGTAATTTTTAAAAAAATCCTAGATGAAATTGTCTGATATTAATTTATTTTAATCACTCTTGTCAACTGCACTTTTTTCTTGGCTATATCCTATGGGAATACTGACAAAGCATTTGAACAGCTGTTAGTAATTTTTAAAAGAGTATTTTGAAACAGCAATCTATTCTAAGAAGTAGTCATTTTAAAAATATTCCATAAATGATTAAAATTGTAGTTTAACAAGCATCTGAAAACATCAAGGCACTGCTTTGAAACTGACAAGATCAAATGAGTTCTTAAATAAAACTTAAATAATTTAAATGAGCTTTGAAAAATTATCCATAATTTCACTAAAACCTTTTTTCCAATGAAAAGGTTTATTAAATAACCATATGCTAATTAATACATTCAGTAATCTTACTTGATCATAAAATTAATGTTTAAACATTTAATCTTTAACAACTAGAATTCTTTGTAGATTTTGTTTTGGTCTTTTTAATATCAGGAATGTATACATACACAAACAAAATGTCGCCCCGTTTTGAATAGGCAGGAATAGCACTGGCAATTGTAGCAAATCCATAGGAATATAGGATAGCTTCCTCCGTCTTCATAAATCTGGCAAGTCGCTCCTCCAGTTCCAAATGCACATCTATTTAGGAAGTGTAGTTCACACATTTATGAGCAGAATTTTGGTTTTAAACTCTCACAAATACTATATTAAAGATTATTGACACAATGAAAAACCCATTCAAGTTTCAAAGTTCTTTAGTATTGGAAATGCTAAAGATATGCTTTGGGATAATATTTCCAATATTATCCCAAAGATGGTTTTCAAAACTGAAGAAGCTTCTTGGATGAGAAGTGAAACGTCTTCAAGGAAAAAACAAAGAAAATCCAGTTGCCTTTTGAAAAGCACATTTGGGACAACCATGACCTGGATGACAGAATCTTTATAGATTATTTATTTCCTACAGAAAGTAGAGGAACATATACTCACTAATCCAATTCAACTTCGCAGCAAAGTCCTGATCACCTTTTACAATAACTAGAGCATTCACCGTGTGAACATTCTGTTAAGTGCTGTCTCTATTACAAAAATGTTTTCTGCAAACATTTCTATATTTAGAGGAAGCCTATGTGCATATTATTACTAATGCAAGGTCCAGGCTTTGTTGAAGTCACCTATATATGCAGCTATATTTATGAAGGCCTTCTTTAAATATTCCCCCATGCAACAATAGCATAATTATTTATTTATTTTTATTTATTTATTGAATTTATATTGCTGCCTATACGCCCATGGCTATTCAAGGCGACTTACAGAATATAAAACTTCATTTAAAACAATAAAACTAATACAAAGAATCAAATAAAGTAATATAATGTAATATAATAAAATCAACCCCCACCCCCTGCCCCGGTGACAGCAGACCATGATCCAGACCATTCACATACTATGAGTCACAGTTAACAAAATGCTTAACAAGGCTAAAATTCACTGTTCTGTTTTTGTCCCTTAAACTCCACCACTAATAAAATAAACTCCAGGACTGCAAATACATATATAAGAAAAAAAAGTTTCATGTATCAACCAGAACAATACCCAAAATTCGAGATGCGTACATATCATTGATTTCTGTAAGGAAGCAGTTTTATTTTCACTTCCTTTCCTAATGATTCCTAATAGGAAGAGGATTTTCCCCTTACAGTCATTAACCTATTTACAATAAAGCTAAGACCTTTTTTTTAGTTAAAGACAGTGCGGACCCCAGAGCATGTGAGAAGTTCGATGAGACTTTTGTTTGTATGTACTGCAAGGAATGTGGGACATGAAGAGCCTTGGTACTACAGGGGTTTAAGGCACCCTGTTATTAAGCTTATTAAGACCAGCTGCCTGCAATTACTGCAGGGTTCGAATCTCGCCAAGGCTCAAGGTTGACTCAGCCTTCCATCCTTTCTAAGGTAGGTGAAATGAGGACCCAGTTTGTGGGGGCAATAAGCTGACTTTGTATAAATATACAAAAGGATGAAGGCTATTGCTGAGCACATTGTAAGCCGCCCTGAGTCTTCGGAGAAGGGCGGCATATAAATCAAATTAAAAAAAAAAAAATGAACATGCCAACCAATTTCTTCAAATACGAGGAGGGGCTTGAACTTTAGGATTTCTTCACACTTGGCAACTGCATCGGGGCAAATAGGCCTGAATGAGGCATGCAATATATATCTGGAAGAGGTATCCTGTGTTAACAAATCCAAGTGACTTCAGAAATCCAAAATAATCACTGTTGTCTCTGCACATTTTTCAGATGCTCAAAATAAATATACAATCCTTTATTTCAGTTCCAATTTGGATTGTAAACATTTCTAAAAAATATCTGCTATTACATATCAAGGAAAAATCTGCACACTTCATATTCCACTATGGAACTAACCTATGGAACAACGACCCATCAGTAGTTGAAAAGATGACAATTTACATTTAAGAGATTAGATAATTTCTCACCTCAGAAGGCATGTAAGTCATCCCATACTGAAACTATATAGTTTTAAAGTTATCTATACAGCCCAGAATGCAATCATGTTGAACATAGTTAAAAATCAAGTTTCATCCCAAATTTTAACCTCAACAAGTGAATTCAAATGAGTTTTACTACCACCTGATTTGACAAAATCAATTTCTTAATGACTTCACAAACACATCCAAATGGTTTTCTTGGCAAAAATATGGAAGTGATTACTCCTGCCATTTTCTAGGATTTTTTCCCCACCCTCATGACTATCCCTGATATTTCTCATAAAATTCTATCTACAAATAATGAGATCTGAACCCTGCTAGCTTTCAGAGATCAGTTAAGGTCCATTAGTTATGAACACTTATCATGGCAGTTCTTAAACCAGCGGTTCTCAACCTGGGGGTCGCGACCCCTTTGGGGGTCAAACGGCCATTTCACAGGGGTTGCCAAAGCCCTCTCTCGCCCCCCCCCCCCACGCCTTCACTCACCCTCACTCTCTGCTCTGTTGGATCGCCGGCCGTTCGTTTACCCCGCCCACTCCTAATCTATTGCTGCCTCCTGAGTCCCAGCTGATGGCTAGAGGAAAAAAAACTGTTTAAATTCTTGCCGCGGGGCTTCAAAGGGCCGCCCTATAGCCAGTGGTGGGATTCTGCCGGTTCCGCCCCGCCCCTCCGCACCACAATTTATTGCCAATAAATAGTGGTGGGCGAGCCAGCAATTTAACAAATAGTTTGGTGTTTTTTTGTAATTTTATTGGCCCGCGGAGGTTTAGCATAGGCTAATTAGCCCTTGATTAGATCGGCTCCCAACTCTCAGCTGATTTGCTCTCAGCTGTTTTGCTCAGGGCTTTGCTGCTTGCTGGAGCAGATTTTTTTTCCCCTAGCTATGCTGAAAAACGAAAATGAAAGTAAAGCAGGCTGTTGGCTTTGCTGTTGCTGCAACGTGGCAAAATGAGGCAGAGAGAGATTTTTTTTTTTTCTTTTTCCTCACCAAAAAAGGTAGGTGCAAAACTGCAAACAATGGGAAATTTAGGGCAAAAAAGGAGAGTTCAAGATTTTAAAACACAAAAGAAAAAAAGCTCTATTTAACTAGGGAATTGTAATAATTGAGATACTATTAATTGTATATTGTGTTGAAAGCAGAAGTGGTTAAGTTGTGGTTTGGAGGAATATATGGGGGAAATTATTTGGTTTATTATTATTGGTAAATATAATTAATTGATTTGTAAGAAATTGGATTGCATGGAAATAATTGGAATATTCATGTTCATATAAATTAATATACAAAAAAGGTAATTATATAACTTGATTTATATTAAAATGTTGAATTTATATTAAACAACTGTAATATTACATAATTAACCAATGTGAGGATGGATATAAAAATAGATGACAATGGGAAGGGGTATAATATAGAATAAAAGGGAAAAATTGAATTTGATTAAGATTAGAGATGAGGATGAAGGGTAATATTGGTTTTTTACAAAAATAGATGAGGAATAAATATGGCAAAAAGGAAATATAGAAATTGTAAATTTAATTGAAATGACTAAACACTGTTTAAATTTGTGAACTGGCCAAAAACTCTGTTCAAAGAAAATACATTGTATGTTTGTATGTGTGTTTCTAATTATTGTTATTTATTCATATTTGTTCTCTTTGATTCTTTAAAGTTTAACAATTCATTCTTTATCTTAATATCTTTATATTTGTTTGGGGTTGGCTTTCTTCCCTTTCATCTCCTCAAATCTACCACCTCTCTCTTTTCTTTCTTTCTTACTTTCTCCTTCTCCCCCTCCTCTTCTCCTCCCTACTTCCTCTTCCTTTCTCCTTCTCCTCCTCTCTTCCTCCCTCTCTTACCTTCACTCCTACTCTAATTTCCCTTCCCTTCCTTCATCCCACTCTATTGCTGTATCCTTTTGTGCATATGGACTACTCAGAGGGCTGAAAAAGTTATTTTTGACTGGTCCTCACACTTTTGACCAGTCCTCGAACTTACGACTGTCCTCACATTTTACGTTTTTGCCCTATCTTGTCACCATGGTGAAGAGAAGCAGTTGTGAAATGAGTGACACGGTTGTTAAGAATGCTACAATGGGCATAAATGATGACCAGTCATAAGTGCGAAGACCGGTCAAAAGTGTGAGGACCTGTCAGAAATCACTTTTTTCAGCCCTCTGGGTAGTCCTTTTGTGCATATGGACTACTCAGAGGGCTGAAAAAGTTATTTTTGACTGGTCCTCGCACTTTTGACCATCCTCGAACTTACGACTGTCCACACATTTTACGTTTTTGCCCTATCTTGTCACCATGGTGAAAAGAAGCAGTTGTGAAATTAGTGACATGGTTGTTAAGAATGCTGCACGGGCATAAATGTGAGGATGGTCATAAGTGTGAGGACCAGTCAAAAGTGCGAGGACCTGTCAGAAATGACTTTTTTCAGCCCTCTGAGTAGTCCCTATACACATAGCCACGGCCACCCGGTCACATGACCAGCTAGCCACGCCCACCCAGTCACATGACCTCCAAGCCACACCCACAAAATAAGCCACGCCCACAGAACTGGTAGTAAAATAATTTAGAACCCACCCCTGGTTGGGGGTCACCACAACATGAGGAACTGCATTAAAGGGTCGCGGCATTAGGAAGGTTGAGAACCACTGTCTTAAACAATCAATAAACAATCAATTCATATATACTGCCAAAATACTATAAGGTGAATAACTCCAATGTAAGACCTGAATGAAAGATTGGAGGCAAAAGGAGAAGCAGAATGAAATGGTTAGATAGTGTCACTGACGCAACGAAGAAGAATTTGGGCAAACCCTGAGAGACAGGGGAGAACAGGGGAGCCTGCCATGCTATGGTCATGGGATCACGAAGAATCAGACACAACTTAGTGACTGAACAACAAGACCTGAACATTTCTGCATGACATCATGAAAACCATTTTAATCATGTATAAAAGCATTCGCAAGACTTATACTTCCAGAGAATCAATCCATGAAGATAAAGTGAATGCTTAGGTCCATAGTATTATCTTTAAAGAGATGTACAGTGGATTTTATGATTAAGCATAGATTGGGATTTTCATATTAGGATTTCAATTACAAAAATCTTACGTTTTAGGCCTAAATTAAAACACCATGATCATCACAAATATATATTATTTTAAAGTATTTGCATTATTGTGTAAAAAACTAATTTAAAGCCGGTCAGTAGACTGCCCTCTTGTGGTCTCTCTGAACACAACACTGCAATATTAGAGATTTCAATCTTCAACACATTTGAATCTCCCTATATAACAATTCCCCAGCCATGGAAATTAAACAAAAAGCAAATAAATCTTCATCAAGATCATAAGGAGCGCATAATTAAATTTCAGCATGCTATCCAGCATTTTTTGGCTAAACAGCAGGATGCAGAAAGTTACATGTCAACTGATGGTGGAATGTGTATGAATCACTAATCTTTTTAAAAAGCCTCGATAAAGTCTCTCTCTCCACCCATCAACTGCCCTTGAATAAACTTAGAAATCATAGGAGAAGAGTGCATGCCCTTTTTATGGATTGATAACTGGCTAAAGAAAATAACAATTAGGAATAAAAAAAAAACCCGTTTAGTGTTGTGGTTAAGGTCTTGGCCTTGAAACCAGAAGACTGTCAGGTCTAGGACTCCCTTAGGCATGAAGCCAGCTGGGTGACTTTGGGCCAGTCACTCTCTCTCAGCCCAATACATCTCAAAGGATTACATGGTTGTTGTTAAGGACAAAATAGGAGGCAGGAGTATTAGGCATACTCATCACCTTTAGTTGATCAAAATATATAAAAAGCAGGATAACATCATCATCATTACCATCATCATCCCAGGTCCTTGGGAAGACTCGATAGTGGCTAAAATATCAAATCCAGTCTAAACTTCAGGCTTATTGTGTGACCAACTATAGTAATAAATAGGAATAGGAATAAATGGACAAATTTCTAAATGGAGGGAGGTTAATTATTTAATTAGCTTCTATGCTGCCTGACTTAAGAATCTGAATAAGGACCAATGCTCATTAGCTTGCTCAGAAAAGATCCTGACCTTAGAAAAAGCAGCCAACTGCCCAAGTTTACAAATACATAAATTATTCAGCTAGGTTAAAAACCAAGATTATTGTAAAGAACTTCAGAAGCATCTCTTTAAACTGTATGAACAATTTAACAGCTTCAATTCTTTCTTGTAAAGTTAAAATCAAGGTAGTTATTATTATGTTCAAATCTATATTGAAAAAGATGCAATACTTACCAAAAGTGCCATAAAATCCTCTAGGGCCACATGTGCCAACACCATATTTTGCCAGAGATGCCTGCGCTGCATTCTTTAAAGAGGTATAAGAAGAAAATCATATTACATGTAATCATATTGTAGAATAAAATCATTATCACATTGATATCATACATTACATTGTTTCTTTCATATCACCACTATTATGCTATGCAACTTCTCTCTGCATTGCCCAAAGAGTACAGTAATCTCCTGGGGCTCATACAAGATAATATGTGAAACCAGAGAGACTTTATTTTCATTCTGACATCCTATCACAGTGATGGCAAACCTTTTCGGCACCAAGTGCCCAAACCGGAACATGCATGCATGTGTACGCGCCAGAGAACTGGAAATGCGAAGACCAGCTGGCCGGCATTTTTTGGCCGGTTTTGGAACCGTTTTCAGGCCATTTCCAGGCTGTTTTTCAGGCCATTTTCCAGGTCATTTTCACACTGTTTTTTGGGCCGTTTACAGGCTGTTTTCAGGTGCTCCAGCATCCACAAAGACCAGCTGGCTGGCATGCATGTGCACACCGGAAACCAGAAGAGCATGAATGCCCATGGCGCATGTGCCCACAGATAGGGCTCTTTGTGCCAACTCTGGCACACGTGCCATAGGTTTGCCATCACAGTCCTATCATTTCACATAATGGATGAAATGTTGACAATCTTAAGAAAAAGATGGTGAACAGGTAATATTCTTTGCTGTAATTCTGAGAGAAGTAAAAATTGTTTCAGAAGTGGGGGGAAAGCTGACAAAGAAAAAAGGTAATAGTACTACAAATTAAACAAATGAAATAATTTGGCATGAAACTGAAGTGAAATTGCTAGATGTATTTTTAAAAATTGTGAAAGGTATTCTAATATTGAAGAGTAGAATTAAAATGCTGATGAAAAGGAAATGTTTGAGAACACTAAAATGATAAGTTTGCAGATATAGAAGATGTAACTGATGACATATACAGTAATATACAACTTACAATTTATGTATGAAAAGAATAAATGTTTTGCCTGATGCCTTAAAGAGTATCATTTTCATTCTTTCACTTTTTCCAGTCTTTCTCATACTATCTACACATGTAGACAACTAAATAAACATTTGCAAAATGGATGGATAAAGCTAACATTCACTCCTAATATTTTTAAAGTATATATTTTTTTTCCAAAACAGGTTGTATTTGTGAATACCTTCCATTTTAAAGCTCTTTCAACTACCAACTTGCTAGAGTTAAGAATATTGTTCAATACAAACATCTGATTATTAAAGGATGAAGACTGAATGAATCTCCAGCACAATGAAATCCCATTTTTAGGTATTCACCACTGTATTTTCTGTTTACATTTTTTAAAAAATTACATTTGCATTGATTATTTTATGTATGAATCAATATAGAGACACGGCAGAAGCAAGGCGGGTTTGAAAAGACAAGACATATAAAGAGGTACAGTGAATGATGTTGGTATAACTTTAATTAAACAGTTTAATTACATTATAAAATATAATTAAACTGTTGGTTTAATTACATTTTTTTTCTTTTATCTTCTATATTTAAATTTTTTTTGTTTACTACATCTAACTCCTTTTCTCCACTTCATATATTGCTTGTCCAATAGGGACTAACATGGTGATTATATATGTATACAGGCATGCATGCTATGGACATTCTCACTGCCACAGGGCTGCTGGACTATTTTGAAAATGAGACTTGATTTACCATAATCTAAATGGTGATGTGTACTCTAATTTCTCTTTAGTTCAGCACAATACTTCCTATTACTATAAATCATCCTTGTTTTTTTCTGGGCATGTGCACTCTAGAGGCCCTCTTGTAAATGAATGTAATACTAAGAGGAATCAACACAGATTTTATACAAGAAGAAATACTAGTCACAATTACATTCTAAAAGATTATAACCATCCATGGGTCATTCAAATAGTTCTTTTGACCCAAAGGCTACATACTGAGATCTATGGAGGTACTTACTTTAAGTCTTTCATTATCCAAAAGCCCAAGAAAATTAAATGATGCAAAGTTTATGCATTCCTTGTCATTCACGATAATGTTGTGACTTGGAGGCCTTAAAGTATGAAAAAAAAAAAGCAAAGTGAACAAATTTGGAAGACTAGCACAGATTTAGAAGCTCAAAGTATTGTTGAATACAGAAAACAACGGTAGTATTCTCCAATCTGGTATTGTATCTAAATGTGGGGATACTGTTTGATGTAGAGATTTATATCTTAGTTAAGAATACTTGTTCCTTATGCTATTAATACAAACAACTTTGTTCTAATGAATCACTTATATATTGTTGAATTCCAAAGGAACCTCTTCATTGCTGATAGTGATACTTTATACTTTTCTTGGAATACTTCTCAGAATTTTGGGAACATATTTCATTTTTTTATTTTTTTGAAAGAGAAGTATTTTAGTTGAGCAACAATAATGCTATCAGAAAATATATATATATCAAAATTACATCCTAAGGAAAAGTTATCCTGCCACTTAAGAAAATTCAGTGTGTTTAAAAATTTGTTTCACTGCTTAATTCAAGGATTAAGGGAAGAATTAATTTTAATTAAATCTCTAAAGAATCAATTCAAGCTAAGATGTAAAATAGAGTCAGTCAAATGAATTAGAGAGAGAACTCATTCTAAAGCAGTCATCTAGCAAGAGACTGTGACAAGAAGCAGTCTTACGAATATTCTACATTAATTTATTAAAGTGCCATTCAATACATATTGCCACACATTATGGCTTAGATCCCAAGGAAAAAAATTCATCCCTGCCAGTCACTTTTGACAGTCACAAGAATCACTGAAATTGGACATACTTGTGCTCAGAAGAAAGTTTATAAGGCAATGCTTTTGCCTAACATTGCAACATCTCTTCATTATTCACATAGAAGCTTGCTGAACCAATCCAGCATGCACTTGCCTGCAGATATTTAAATGTGATTTTTCCCCCCCATCTGGAGTTTATGGAACCTTCAGAGTTCTACAAGAACCTGAATGTCTTCCATTAGAATAGGGCTGCACACAGATTTTAGGTTGAGAGCCATATATTACCTTGAATATTGTAAAAAAAGTAAAGCCAGAAAGGAAGAAATGAATGATCAAGAGAAAAATAAAATGTGATGTATCTTGCATTTACTCTATCTTAACTAATGTAAAGTAAAAATTATCCATGGGCATTTAATATTTGTCTCCTTCAATCACATCAAAAAGCATATGGCAACTGATTGGAAGTTCTGGCTATACATGGAGTTTTATGTTATTCATCTCCACATTTAGTTGATTAACATTAGCATGTCAAAAAATTATACAACATAAATCATAATCCAACTTCCTTAATATTAAAAACATATAATAGTACAGCAACTTCTCTTAAAACATAAACCACAATTTTACTAGCCCAGCACTTATTTTGAACTCTTTTTTTAAATAGAAGTCATTTTTGGTGCAATAGCTCCAAATAACAGCACATCAAAAAGTTCTTCCAAATGAAAGGAAGATCAGATGCGCAATAGCCAAATTTCAAGCCACCTATCAACTGCTATTAACAGCTTACTTTCTCTAAACCAGCATGTTTCATTATTTATAATGGTTGACTATTTTTCATTGACAAATTTCTTTCCAGATTATGTTCAGGATGAGGTTCTTAATATTCCTAAGTAGCATTTTAGAAGTTCTAGAAGCTGCATTTCCAACACATGTTAAATATTTTATTATTTTCTTGTTTGGTTTCTATTATTTTTACATTAAGTTGAAAGATAATTTCATTTCACTTAGTGTTTTAGTGTTTTTTTATGTTTGTTAGTTATCTTTTATTTTGAAATACAACAAAAATAAACTAAATTTTAAGTTTGGTCTATTTCACTATTCAAATCATTCATGAACGTTTAGGTACACCAATCTCATTAAAGATGTTTGGAAGATCGCAATGCTTGAATTCCTATGTCATAAAATATGTCCATGAATTTTATTCTCTATAACTGAAAAAGATTATAGTATGACTGAAAAATAGCACTAATTCAGCAAAGCAATTTATAAAGGTATGCCATGTAAGTGCAGAATTCTTCAAAATAATATAATTTTGTCATGCTGCCATTTATTGTTTGAGATCATTTATACACTGTTTTAAAGAATGTACATAAAGAACATGATGCAATCCTGCATCAAAAGGCACTTATTCTGCTGGAGTAAATCTAGCCACATACTGTACTCAGAAATAAAACATGTCATAATTAATATTAATATTGTATTCATCATGCTGATGTATTCCATGCATATCATTTACTATATAAAATGGCATTCTCAAAAATACTTTGGCATTTATTTTAAACAGTGACTAAACCATGAATTGCTCAGAAATTTTCCAGACTTAAACATAAGGAAATACAAATATAATATGGTATCCTTATATAAAGAATGTGAAGAGATAAATGTTACTTAGAACAGAAAGAGTGCTTAGAGGTATACTGAAATTCCTGTGACTTTTTAAACTTCTGGCACAGTCAACAAGCATCCTCAACATTTAATGTTTAAAGGAATAATACTTCCTATGCTTAGTTATGCTGAAGCTCCATTAATTCAATTGGATTAAGTTCTGAGCTAGGAAGCATAGCATTTAAGCATTTTTTTCAGAAATTAGATTCGATTTAAGTGGGCATATATGAAATTGAAAGAAAAAAAGAGGACAAATTAAATATTTGATGCCTATGGTAGAGAATTAATTAGTTTAAGAAAAGAGCAGCAGTTAAAATCCCCCTTTATTATAGAAATTATCCTTTTAAACATTACTGTAAATAGATTTTCCCTTTTCCATATTTATTAGAAAAAAAAACAGGAAGTTACCAGTCATATTGTTAATTCATCTAGCCCAATATAGTCTACGTTGACTGACAGCATCTTGCCAAGATTGTAGTAGTTTTTGCAGTGTTATGTGCAAATTTTGAATCTTAGATGTCCTGCAGGCAAAGCACAGGCTTTACCACTCAATTAACAAGGAAGCGTTGAAGTAAGGATGGAACAGAAAATACCATTCATGAGTATCTAAAATTACCTGTCTTATCCTGAGATTTAATACCCTTTAAATGGCTAATGTCTGTTATTACTGAAAATTTTAATAAATTAAGTAAACCTGGAATTACTAGTTCTAATGTTTGAATAAATTAATAACAGGAACATGTAAATTGTTTTATGCACACAGTGTCCAGAACAGCTGATTCCAGGTGACCAAAACAGATCCAAAATATATGAATCCTAGGCAGAAGTATTTCAGAGGATTGGCATCCAATTGGCCCACTTGATCTCCCTTAAAGGGACATACTAGAAAGGAAGATTGAGAGGGGAGCAGGCAGCTAGGCACCATGTTTGAATCAAGGCATAATCGATTAGAAGGATTGGTGGAACATACCAGGGTGGTCTTGCTTGCCCTGTGAGATCCCTGTGTTTGGTTTTAGTTTAACCAAACCACAGCCTACCTCTAACAATTTAGCTCAACTTCTGAGACAATCTGTTCAACTCCAAAGAAAACAAATTTTTTTCATTTCACCAGGGCTTCTAAGGACCATCAGGCATGCTTATTTTATCTGTTAAGCAGAGTGATAAAAATGAAGTAGTTTACTATGCCTACTTGGTATCTTTTACAATTCAAGTCTAACATTAGAATTTAAATTTGTGCTGAACCTAGTTCTCTGAACTTGCAAAACAACAATCCATAATTATTCTACAAAGTAATCAAGCTCACAATCCTAAACACATCTGCTAGAAGTATATATACTTTCGAACGCAGTCGTATTTCATGTAAACATGTTAAAAAAAAAACCCTGGGCTTTAAATATAATATGAAATTATGATAATCCAAATTTACCCTTTAACAATATTGTAGTTCAGTGCTGGGTGATCTTTTGGTACTGGAGGAACAAGAGGTTCTGGCTGCCATTCTTCAATCAACTCTTCCTTTTCCTTTTACAAATAGAAACAGAAGTACTGAGCGATGTATTATTCAATAGATAGATATATCCTGACTTTCCTCCCCCTAGCTCAAGATGACATATATAACAGACCTGCCTTTAATTTTCCTTTATAACAACAATCCTATGAAGGAAGTTGGCCTGAGAGAGAATGACTACTTGTCAGGTGAGAAGAATCAGGATCACATGTTAAATTCCAGTTGAGCCAATTTATTGCTCATGCCTATATACAAGAATCTACTAACAGCACTAAACTGACACTAGATAAGGGTTAATGGAATTCAAGGGGGGCTGCACTTAGATTGCTTGCGAGAATGTAATAACTCCAGACTGATTCCTCTTGACACTGTCCTCATGCTTTGCCTCGTCTTCTCCTACATTACTGTAGTCCAAAGTCACGCTCTGAGCATCTATAGCTGAGAGTAAACTTAAACTTTGGTTTCTCTTGTCCTACTCCAACAATTTAACCCCAATTTATTATGAAAAGAATGAAAAGTTGGGTCTAACCAGTTGAGATACACACACAATTTGTAAGAACTAAAAAAGATTAAGCTAATGAGATTGAAATCATGTTCATTTTAAATCTACTAAAGGTAGTTTTATGTCATTTGCTTACTGGTAAATCTTTTACATAATTCATAGTTTTCCTAAGAATATTAGGAACACTGACTGATTGTTGCATCAATTACAAAAACTTCTTTTTGCACAACTTTTACATAACTTCAGAACACATTAGTAAGTTAACTAGCCAGTATGCTTTTGAACAGAACTAAGTATCTTCTACAGCAGTCTTTGATGAACATACTAAACACCACATAAAATTGTAACATTAAAATCCAACTATGCCTAGAAACTATAAAATAATTATACTATAAAAAGGAGATAATCCTCCTTTTTAGATGCTTGGCACTGACTGGTCAATGATAGACACGCATCTCTGTTTATATCCCCAGGTCTTCTTGCAGCAATTATAATAAATGTACCTTTCTTTGGCATTACTCACATTTCAATTTTTCAATTGAATTGTTCAGCTTATATATTATTTTAAAGGTCGAAATAATTCTGAAGTGATTTATCTTGGTCTGATTATTTTACATTTTAAAAACTTGGCATTTTAACAGGGGTGTGTAGACTTTCTATAGCCACTACATATATGTTTGTGTATCTGTATGAATGGGTGAGGGGTGGGGGGAGGGGGAGAGGGAGAGGGAGGGAGGGAGAGGGAGAGGGAGGGAGGGAGAGAGAGAGAGAGAGAATTTTAGAAATTCAGACCTTAGGTGTAAGATCAGATCGCTCCTGAAGTTTGTATGTTTTAGAGAAAAGCAGTCTGATTATCCATAGGATCAGAATACCTTCTAAAATAAGATGGTACGCTGGAGCCTAAAAATTAAACAACAAAAGAGAAATTATTAATGAACAACCAAAGTTATTTCAAAAAATACACATAACAGGCAATTTCTGCAATTCCGAAGCTCTATTTGAAACACAACTTATATGACTATGCAAGAATGAGTTTTGAGACAGAATATGACTGAGAAAAATTCAATAGGGATACTGAAAAAGGACTGCATCTATTTTTATGCATGTCTCACTGTGATGCAAAAACGTCTATAACTTTGAAGCTGCAAACTAAACTGCCTATAATTGGAACTCTAATTTGAGACTGATAAAACTAATATGATTTTAAATTTTGAATCATAGAATTAGGACCCTATGATCCTGATGGATTTTATTTCAGGCTGGAAGGGCAGAAGATAAAACTTCCTAGACATTTATCAAAATCTAACCCCAGAAACGGACGATACCGAACATCAAAACTGCAATAAGTGGGTAAATAAATCTTCCTCTTCGCGTCATTTGTTGGGGTCACGTATAGTGTAGTGCAGGGGTCCCCAAACTTGGCAGTCTTAAGACTTGTGGACTTCAACTCCCAGAATTCTCCAGCCAGCATAGCTGGCTGGAGAATTCTGGGAGTTGAAGTCCACAAGTCTTAAAGCTGCCAAGTTTGAAGATCTCTGGTGTCATGAATCCCCACAATACATTTCCCCGCGCCATACATAAGCCAACATCACGATGCCTTCGCCTCCCAGCCCAAGTCCCTTTCTTTCTTTTCTTTTTTTACTCCATCCCTCCTTAACAGGGACTCGACCATCTTCCCTTCCTATAAATCCCGAACCTTTCGTCAGCCACAGCCTTTATTTTGGGCGCGGGCGGGAGGGGGGGAGAAGAGAAAGGTGACATGCAATTCCGCCTGAGCTTTCGGTCTCCCCCTCAATGCGGGCGGGGGGGGGAGGGGCTGAAGATGACATTCCCAAACCCCTCAGTGCAGCCATCTTAGCCGCTCACCTCATAGAAGGCCTGGACCATCTCCACCAGCACCCACTGTTGCCCCATAGGCTCCGCCGCCATCGCCCTCAGTTCCTTCCGGGTAGGAGGCGGAGGGTAACGTCGCCAAGCGTAAACAGGAGGAGGAGGAGGAGCCGTGACGTAGAGCGCGCGAGACAGGCGAGGACGGTTGGTCTTGCCGGCTTTTTTTTTTTTTTAAATCAGCGAGAACGAGGCGGCAGTTCTCGTTGCACGCGAGCGTGGAAAATGATGGTCTCTCAATCTTAACATGCATGGAGGAGGGCGGATATCGATGCCCAATAATAATGTTTCCTTGGATTAAGCATGCCTAGATGTCAAATGTTCTTTTTTTTTCTGACAAAGGAGAAGCTTTCCCCCCCCCCCTTTCGTTGTACCGAAAAACGAGACTTGTTTTCCCCCACGATGGTCTTGTGCAGGTAGTCCTCGACTTACGACAGTTCATTTAGTGACCAAAGTTTCAACGGCCCTGAAAAAGGTGACTTACTATGACCGTTTTTCAGAGTTACAACCTTGGTTAGCATTCCCCGTGATCATGGGATCAAAATTCAGATGCTTGGCCACTGCTTCATGCTTACGACCGTTGCGGTGGGATCGCTTTTTACAACCACCTTGACAAGCAAAGCAGAGGTGGGCTTCAGCAGGTTCTGACCAGTTCTGGAAAACCGGTAGTGGAAATTTTGAGTAGTTCGGAGAACTGGTAAATACCACCTCTGACTGGGCCTGCTCCCATCTATTCTCTGCCTCCCGAGTCCCAGCTGATCCGGAGGAAATGGGGATTTTGCAGTAACCTTCCCTTGATATGGGGAGGGAATGGAGATTTTACAGTATCCTTCCCCTGCCACACCCACCAAGCCACACCCACAGAACCGGTAGTAAAAATTTTTGAAACCCACCACTGAAGCAAAGTCAATGGGGAAACGAGATTTACTTAACAATTGGGTTACTAACTTATCAACTGCAATGATTCAGTTAACAACTGTGGCAAGCAAGATCGTAAAATGGGGCAAAACTCACTTAACAGATGTCTCACTTAACAATAGAAATTGTGGACTCAAATCTGGTCAAAAGGTGAGGACTACCTGTACTCAGCTCTAATGGGATTTTCCAGATTCTCCTCCCCAGACAACATTTAAGTCAACAGCCCAGAGTTGTTGGGAGCCGGCATACATGTTTAATTAAATACCTTTGTGGGTAGTCTAGCAATGTTCAGACAGGTGTCTCCGAAGTATTAAACCATTTGAAAAGTACCTTAGCCTCAAATAAAGATCATGATGTCCTGCATACAGTAGAAATTGAAATGTTTCCCAAGTTTTCTCCAAATGACTTAGTATGACTGGATGAATTTTTTTTTCTTTTAATAAATAAAGTACTGTTTTAAAGTGGTGATTCCGCCCATAATCTTGTACATCCTTAGTAAGCATCTTAAAACTTGGCAGTGGGCAGTAGGTATTATTTTCATTAATATAAACAAGACCAATTTAGAAACCCCATAGTTAAAATGTCATCCTCACTTTCAGCATTGACTTTGATTAATAATTTTGCAAATGCATGTTGCAACCATTTATCTAAACAACAATGATTAGGGTTGGTTTTTTTTTTTAACATAAAAACAGAATGTGGCCTCATCATTGTTTTGTCACTTGGTTCAACCTATGCACCATTTCCATGTCAGATCAGAGCTAAAATTTGGAAGCTTTAGCTGGTTCAAAGTGCAATAGCAAGTGCAGTCTTTGGGGCCCCTAGAATAGCCCATATTATACCTCTGCTGCACGAGCTACCATTCTGCTTCTGAACTGGGTGCAGTTCAAGGTGTTGGTTAAGACCAGGGGTGAAATCCAGCAGGTTCTGACAGGTACTGGAGAACCGGTAGCGGAAATTTTGAGTAGTTCGTACAACCAGCAAATACCACCTCTGGCTGGCTCCAGAGTGGGGTGGGAATGGAGATTTTGCAATATCCTTCTCCCAGGAGTGGGGAGGGATTGGGGATTTTGCAGTATCCTTCCCCTGCCACACCCACCAAGCCACGCCCACAAAACCGGTAGTAAAAAAATTTGGATTTCACCACTGGTTAAGACCTGTAAAGCCCTTAATGGCATAGGTGCAGATGAATGACTCATCCCACTAGGACAGCAGAGAGGACTCAATGCGGATCTTGTTGGTCAAAAAATTCTGACTATTAGGATCCCGAAAAAGAGCCTTCTCTGCTGTAGCACCTACCCTTGGAACATCTTATCCTCCAAGGTGAGATTTGCCTCTATCCTCCTATCCTTCCACAAGAGCCTGAAGATCTGACTGCTGGTTGGCCTGGGGACCCTATGGAGGTGGCTATTACCATAGATTGATAGCAAACCCCATCTTCACCCTCGCTGCCTGCTTCCCCACCCGCCCACCTTTTTTTCCCTCATATCGTTGTATCATTGGTGGGGTTTTTTTTGCTTATTCTATTGTTCCATTACTTTACCACTGTTACATTTTACATGTCATTTTCCCGTTTTTGTTCCCTAGAATAACCCCACAGTGAGATAGATGGCAAATAAATTTAACAATAATAATAATAATAAATACACGGTAAATATAAAATATAAGTGTAAACCTCATACATAAAACATTTGGCAATTTATGAGATACTCTCATTTCAGCCACTCATAATAACACCAGATGTGTGTGGAAGGAGGGGCTGAAATAATGTTGCATTTTGCCGAGGGCAAAGCAAGTAGTGAAACAGGACTGCAGTTTGTGGCTTCAGAACAGCCACACCCTTCCATGCCTGGTTTTATAAGTAATATTTAAATAAATATGGTTATCATTAAAAGAATACCTTCAGAATGTTCACATCCATCTGTTTAAAAGGAATAGTGCCAGGGCAGAAGCAAACTGATGCTGCTTTGGTCTACTTTGTGGAAACAAAATCAGTTGTTCCTGAATTGCAGAGCATAAGGTTTGGATGCCCCTGCAGCAAAACTGATTTCTATCCGAATAGCAAAAGTGACAGTGAAGAATATTGGTATAAAATGGATGGCATAAATAACATGAGTGAGGAATTTCACCCAGTAAAGAGATCCTATTCCCATTCATCAATGCAGCATCTCACTTATAGAGACACTGTGTATAGTATTGCTATTCTCAAGCTGCAGTTTATCTGGGAAGATATGACACACATCACATTCCCTCCAGCAATCCAACTTATTATCTGGGATGAGCGTTCAGGATTGCACAGTGTTAGGAGTGCTTATTGGACTATATGATATCACTCGTTGTTCAGCCTGCCTTCCCAAACAGTTTGGCTAAAACAAGCATAAACAGAAAAGGCATTGTGTCAAGAGTTGTTATTCTGTCTAGTGAGACTACATTCTGCCCTAAATATTCCTGCTTTTCAATGACTGGGTTCTAAGTAGGTACCCTTCCAGGTGCCTTTCCTTTTTTGGTTGATTTTTATTCTTACAGACTTCATGTTTCTATTTAATTACTTTTTATAATTTGTATTTTCATTTTGCAAAACTGAATCACAAAGCCAAAAGGGGAAAAAGATCTGTTGAAAGAAAAAAAATCTAAGCCAGTTATGTGCCTGGTGGATGGTATTCTTTTCCAAAACATGTATACTGTGCACAAACAATTCACACATGATATTGGTATATGACTGACCCAACCATGTTTGTTCTCATGCTGATTTCTGTACAGGTGCCCTTGTTTAGCGATCACAATTGCGATCTGCAACTCGGTTGTTAAGCAAGGCGACTGCTAAGTGAAACCTTGGCTGTGCTTATGATCTCACTTCAGCTTCCTTTGTTTTAAAGATGTGTGAAAGTTATAAATGAAAGTTATAAATGGTCATAAAGTTACTTTTTTATTGTAAGTGTGAATGATTGTTAAATAACTACATTCAGGTATAATTTAAGATTTCCCAAGAGGAGATGTTTGTCGATATTTCTGTTTTCAAACACCAATGGTAGTTGCACCCACCCCCACCCTCATGTATACTAAGAGGTTTAACTTCTATTTTGTGAGACAGGAATGTAAAAATACTCTGATAATTAGTTGTTGAACTTAAGCCATCCCATATTTAGAATCTGAGCATCCCCTCTGATGATCAATTAGGGGCAGATCTGCATTGTTTCCACTATTGAGTCCTTTCAAACTGTTTTAAAGCTGGTTGTGTGACTATCATCATCACTGGAGGCATTAATGACTCAACCAGAGCAACTCTTCCAGAGAGTTAATAAAAGAGGACAAAAACCCTGTAATTTAATCAATGACTCAACAATGCGAATCTTGGTGCAACAAAAATTCATAACCTTAACTTCCTGGAAAAATTGCTTGTTTTTTATTATATTTAGAAACCACCCATAACCTTCCCAGAATAGGTAGTCACCAACTTACGACCACAATTGAAACCATCACCATTACGCTCCGACCAGTGATAATCTAAAAGTGTGACCAATGCTCTTTTTGTTTCATATCCATGCCCGAACCCTAACAAAAAAAAGTAATCCAGGATCGTCTGGAATTTCAACACCATACCCTATCAATCATCTTTTCTAAAAAGAGGTGAGAAATTGGATGTAAATTGTCCAGAATGGTGCATTCTAGTGATGGCTTCTTGAGGAGTGGGCACACTAGCACCTTTTTAAAAGGGGGACAGAACACACCACATGAAGGATGAATTCACCAGTGCATGAACATCTCTTGGATGGCCTTGACCAAACAAAACTCACAGGTTAGATCTTGCATTTACCGGTACATGCATATCCACATTTACATTCTGGAAGAACCTGTCCACTTCTTCAGGGCCAACAGAATCAAACCGTTTTCAGATAACTAGATAAGTCTGTTCCTGGGGCAACTCTGTGAGACTTATATCATGCTTAACATCCAGTTGGAAACAGGTACAGATGATTTTATCCTCCACAGAAAATTCCTCTGTTCGACCCTGCAGATAAACCTATGGGATTTCCATGAGTCCTGAGAAAATCCAAACAAACAGCAGCTCAGTCTCATATAGGTTTTAAACAGGTATCTGCAGGGTGCCATATATTTGTCTGATCTTATGCACTCTTCCCCTTGGCAGTTATTTAAAGGGAGAGCTGTGAACAGG